TTTTTATTTATTTATTACTTACTAATTTAAAATAAAATATTATATTCTTTTTAAATAAAAGTTGAAAAATATTAAAATGGTAAATTTATCACAAAATATTAAATGAAGTTTTGAAATATAAATTTTATCAAACAATGTTATGCTAATGTATATTTAAAAAAATATCTATTATTTATTAAACATTCAAAGCATTTGATAACTATAGATCCACTCCGGATCCCTTTCTTTTGTTGTATTTTAAAAATACAAATGTATTCCAAATTTGTCTCCCTTTCCAAATTTATTAAACATTCCAAAAAAATACTAATATCATAAATAAATAATTACGATGGAAGAAAAAAAAGATAAGGGAACAATTTGTCTCCCTTTCAGGAAGTTGTTGATGTTATAGATGGTGTATTAAGTGCATATGGTGACCTAAAGATGGGAGGTAGGTCCATTCCTAATTCAAAATTATTAATACTTTTCATTTGAAAGTGTTCTTAAAGATCATGTCACCGATGTCAAGAGATGATCAGATTTTGTGATGTATTACAAAAATTATATCGAAATAGTGCTCGACAAATGGTCATTCGAGTCGACGAATGCTTAAGTTAGTGTCTAAAAAAAATTAAGGAATGCAAATGGTTTAGAGAACATATAATTGAATATAATATTTTGTGTAAAATATTATGCTTTTTCATAATATGCTTTGGTAATTGATAGAGTGGGAGCAAGTGAAAATTAAATTGTATTAGTAGTTATACAAGACTATTCGAGTATTACTTAGACATAAAAAGTCAAACTATTTAGTGTCAATATCATATCGAGGATTGGTATGGTCGATATATCAAATTAATAGAGCATTCGAGTATGTGTTTTTAAATATATGAGTACAGTATATTTTTGAATTTATCATAACGATAAGGAATCATTATATAGAAAAAATATGTTTATTCAAGAAATAAATTATAAAAAGTATTTATCGATTTTAGTGTGAGAGTAAGATATGAGGAGATAATAATGTGTTTCTTTTTTAGAGTCAAGAAAGGACAAAATAAATTATCTGAATTTACATAAGAAAACATATAATGAGATTTGTACTCGAGTTGAGGTTAACTCAAAATCAGTTATAATTATTCTCATATGATAAAGAATTTTATTTTATTTTATGAAATCAGAGTTATCATGATTATTTATTTGATTGTTAATATCTAAGATATATATTTTTATTTTGAACTCCGCTTTTCCCACTCCCCCCCCCCTTTTTTTTTACTATTTACAGCTATCATTTTACTATTTACAACACTATTTTTAAATTTTAAAATATTCTTAAGTTACATCTTTGTAAATATATGTAAATACCTTCTTCTTATTAATCATAATCTCTTCTCTCTCCTATCTTCTTATTTTACTCTTTCTCCTCCTCCTCCTCCTCTTCTCTACTATTCATTTTCCTTTTTTTTTCCCTTTTAAATGATGACATCGAGGGGATGATGAGACAGTATCGACGATGACTAATAAAGACTTAAAAGGAAGGAAAAAAAATATATAAATTAGTAATATTATAATTATAAGTAATAAAAATAAAAATAATTTTAATTATTTTTTAAAATTATCAATGATAACGGATTGTCAATATAAAAAAATCGTGAATAATAGATATATTTTCATATCTTTCTTTGTATTTATCCTCGTTCATTTACTTATTTACTTCTGCTATCTCTTTCACTTTGTATTGGATTTATATGGGTCTAACTAATATTATAATTCAAAATTTCGGTTAAGATACAAAGAAGATGAAAAGGAAAATATTGTTTTGCTGTTTTTATTTTTTCCTTATCATCGAACTTGTTCTTACCCAATTGCTTCCTCGTATCAATCTCTTCCCTTTACTTCTCATCTTCAATTTAATTGTATTTTTCGTTCCACGTTTCCGCTATCTTAATTGGAGTGCCACTACGCAACTTGATATCACCAGTTTGCTCTGCTATTAACCAAAATCGAGTGGCTCATATGAAACTGTAGTGTAATTAAGGCATTAAATTTTCAAGAATACCCATCTCGTGTTCTTTCGGCCCTCTCAGCCAAATCGAGCGCAAACCTTTACCGCGGCCATCGTGGGCTGGCCATTCAAAATCGCGTGCCCTTTTTACATATGCCTACCCATTACGATCTTACACCCTATCTTATCCATTGCACTATTGAAAGGAAACTTAAACCTGTGCTGGACCACACCCTTTTGTCCAATCATAGTATAGGTAGGAATAACGGGTATGAGTTCCACTCGTGCCAAAGTTTCTTTTGTTTCGAATCGCCTGCGAAGTGGCAGGCATCGGCAGCAGCAGAAGCAGATCTTTCCAATGCGCATATCTCCGAGCGCGGATCTTAAAGCTCATCATACTGCCGATTCCTCGTCCCTCTTTCTTTACCTCTCTCTCTCTCTCTCACACCCGCCGATTCCATCAAACAGAAACAAAGAAAAGCAAAAGGAGTCTCGCTCGTCTTCGACCGCCGGAGGAGGAGGTCGACGCTCGCATCACTCTCCAGCGCGTCGAGATTCTCCGCTTCCTCTTTCTTTCCAGGTACGCCCAGGATTTTATCAAATTTGGTCGCTCGATCTTGTGGTTCTCGTCCTCCGAATCGAAGGACAAGCCAAGTTTCTCCTTTTGATTTCGTCCTTCGCAAGTTCTCCCTTCAGATCGTGCCTCACAAGTCTTAATTGGTGCCGAAGCGACCCCTTCTTCCTTTCCCCTACCCTTTTTGGATGTTCGGCTCGCTGCCACTGAACCAATTATTTTTTCTTTCGTTTGTAGAAGGGTTTGTATCCTTTTCTTTCTGGTTCTTCCGGACGTTTTGGCTATAGAATTCTTTGGGTAATCTCAGTTCAAGACAGATCAGTTTGGCAAAGTCTTGTTTGAGATCAAGCTCTTTGATAATGCATGTTTCGTTCAGGACACCGTACCTCGCCGATCATCAAAATATGCTTGCTCTCTATATACTTTAGGAAAGATTCGTCTGAGATCTATTTTTGATGATCTTGAACTGTTCTAGTGTCATCGTCGGTCATTTCATATGCTCATTTGTGGATGTTCATGTTTCCGGACCTGTCTTGCCCAGATAGTTTGTTTGTTGCTTCTTGATAGGTTGGTTGGCATACCTGTGGAGATATTAGGATCTTAGCTTCAAAGGCGGGTCTCTTCTATGCATCATTCATCACCTTATCGCCGCAGTACATTCATCACCTTATCTTCTGTGGAGATATTAGGAACGAACTTTTGACTCTCATTTTAGTTAACATTATATGTCCGAAGTAAATTTTCCCACAAACTATATATCGAGGGACTGGCTCTTACATGAGATCCATGTGCTCTTAAATCTGTGATCTGAATTGTCGGATTATTTGAATCGGAACGAATCGGAACACGATGGTGGATGACCTCCATGCTACTCTTGTTTCGCTCCTCTATCTATTGTCAATGTTTTCTATCTCTCTATTCATCTAAAACTTTGTTTCGATTTAGAATGTGTAGCTTTATCAAATGGTCAGCCTTTGTCTTTTCTTTAGGTTGTAAATGATGTTTTATGTAATGCACTGCCTGTTTATTTGGGGTGATAAAAATGAACCTTCTCGATGAGCATCCACTGATGTTTTTCCATGCATTGATCAGACACAGGCAATATAGAAAGAAATTTTTATGGCTTCAACCAGAAAACTGAGAAATGTGAACAAGCGATTTGCTAAAGTTTTTGAAGACTGGTCTGAGAAGGATGAGACACCTCCAAAGAAAAGTCGAGCACGAGTAAGTTCTTATTTTATCAACTTATACTTTAGTTCATCACTTTCTATCGCATTGAATAATAGTGCATCGAGTTTCCAATCAATTTATGGTCCTCAAAGTCATATTCATTATTTCATATGCTTGTAAAGATTCCCAAACAATAAAGAAGCGGTTCAGTTTGGACAACTTTCTTCGTTATTCTCTCATATTACTTCCAGTCCAGTTGTGAGGGATAAGTCAATTGAGTTCATGTGCCAGATGAAGTTGTTAAAACAATCCATTCCACAGTTAAACCTGTGGCTCTTGTTCTTTGATTATACCTGAGGCGAAATTGAAGTTCCCATCACCTACCCATGCAAGAAAGAAATTTAAATTCAGAAAGCTCTACTAGTGGAGAAATCAGATTTTTGAGCATCTATAAACATGCCATCATTTCTCTCTCTAGGTTGTGAACTTTAGTGATCACAAAACTGTGCAAAAACAGGGATCCTATATGTAATACCGAAGGCTAGTTAACATTTGAGGAAAATGAACTTGTTCGGTCACATTTGAATATTATTCACTTGGACTCAAGCATATTGGTGTTTTTCATTTCTTAGGTGTAGAATTATAGGAAACTCTAAGGATGTGTTATACTTTTCTAGCTATATTCTGGTTCTTGGTTTAAAACATCTGGTGTCCTAACTATGCAGAAGAGGAAATTGTCTGACATGCTAGGTTCTCAGTGGAGCAAAGAAGAAATTGAGCGATTCTATGAAGCTTACCGCAAATATGGGAAAGATTGGAGAAAGGTATGATTGCTTTTTTGTCCTCTCCTAAACAAAAGGGAAAGAGAAGTGCAATGTCTTGCACTTGAAAAACGTAATATATATGTGATATGTAAGATGTGACTTGGTCTTATTAAGATAATAAGTTTGGAAATCAATATGCAACTTTGTAAATATTTTAAATCTTCCTGAATTTGTAGGTTGCTGGTACCTTGCGTAATAGATCATCAGAAACGGTGGAAGCTCTTTACAACATGAATAAAGTGAGTCTTTTTACCGATTCTCTATGTCATATTGTTGGAGAGTCATCATGTATTTGAGTTTCTTAAAAATCCAATTTGCTTTTAAGTTGCCTATCCAAGCAACTTGATGTATACAGTTTTAGTGATAATTATAAGTTTATTATGTTGAACCAGACATGAAAAATAATTCTGTAGATGAGGTATCATGTTTTCTCTGATATGTTGCTATGCTGGTCCTTTATCTGATTCCCGCATCCATTACATTCCTTTGTCAACCTTCTCAACTTCACATGCTTGTTGTTTTACATTGTATTTCTTGAGCTCACAAAGTTCTTCAACTGTTTAATCTGTTCATTAGAGACATGTGAGTCTGCACTCTCTGATATCTCTAGATAGAGTAATTCATTGACATATATGTAGTTGCAGATCGATGCGGTTGTATACATTGTCCTCTAATCATCAAATAGGTTGATATACATGATTGGAGGAATCATGGTATTAAATATTGGAAGATTCATAACAAATCATATCCTTGATTACCTAGTACAAGAAAAGAAGTTCCATATCTAACAATCATGGAGCATTTTCACTATGGAACACTCAAAATAAACCGAGTATTCCATAGTATAGTTATCACCATAAGCACATCAGTTATGGGTTATAAAGCTTTTTTTCAGAGAGATGTACCGGTGGCAATTTTTCTGTGATTTGTATTGGACTTGTTAGTTTTATCCGAGGTGGGCTTTTAGATATACAGGCTAAATTGCTCAGTCCATGTACCAGTCACCCACAACCTGCATTGCGCTGATTGATGCAATGCAGTAGATATACAGGGCCAGGCTCCCTAACACCTTGTATGTATTTCCTTGATTTAGATCTTTGACGTTTTATGAATCGTTTATGGATATGCAAAAAGCAAAATAATGAACCTCATAGTAATTTTTGTTTATGGTTAGGCATAGAGCATAGAGTAAACTTCATAATAATTTTTGTGACTAACAAAAAATTGTTATGATTTTTCAGGCATATTTATCTCTTCCTGAAGGAACAGCTACTGTAGCTGGGTTAATTGCAATGATGACCGATCACTACAACATTCTGGTGAGATTGGAGATTGAGTTTTGTCTCCAGTTTTCTGGTACCAGTGATGCTGATGATTCTTATTATTTAATCAAGGACTTATTTGATCCAGGAAAAAAAATTCATAAATGAAAGTTGTTCTAGGTTTTTATGCCCCCACAACAAAAGAAATAAGTTCAAAATAATCATATGATGTCAAATTGTACTAGTGATTAAGAAGAATGGTCTTTTTGGACAAAGCCTCTGGAAAGCGATCAACTCTACTGAAAAACTGGCATGAGTTCATATGCATGTCTTAACTACACTGATCATGAAAGGAGTAACTGTTGAAGTTGACCCTTTAATCGAAAACTTGATTCTTCTTTGGTAACTAATTATTTTTTTCCACGAAAAAGTGCAATCTTACAGAAAGCTGAAGCAACGAAATTCTACAGAACAACTTCAGACATTTTTGTTGGCAATTGGCGCTTGTTGTAGTTATATTCTGTCCTAGAGTTCTGTCTCTGCTTTAATCCAGATATTACTGTTCCTACTAGTATTATCATGAAGTTTAGATCTTTTAGGGTTCATACCGTTACTGCAGTTCATAACAAGATTCAAAATTTCTTCAGCATGGAATTAAACATGAAGAGTTCTGTCACTGTCACCGAGGTTTTGTATGAGATTAGTCGAAACCTGATACTATTTCTAATTTTTGTTGACTTTTTTGTTATAAACCAGTGAAGACATTGTGAATTCTTGGAGCTTCTAGACATTGTAATGCTTCCATACAATAACTTGAATGAAAATTGAACTTTTGAATTGCTCATCTCAGTACAAGTGATTACTTTTGAAGGATTATCTTATAAACATGTATTACATGCATGTTGATTGTTGTTCCCTTCTATTTTTTTGGATACAACTATTGGTTTGGTTATTAGGAAAAAAAAGTATCACATGGAAGCTACAATATTTCTAGTTAGTGTCTCATATTTTTGCTCCATCGTTCAATCTTTGTTTCTCCAGTTTAATTTTTTTGTCTTGGTGCCTAACTAATGGACAGTCTAATATTGTGGTTGCTACATCTTGTAGTTGTGCATTTAGCTACATAGTAACATTTTTCTTGTTTGGATTCTTTTATAATTTTCTCAACTTCTTAAATATTATTTACTACTACAAATTAGTTAATCAACTTCTTAAATATCATTTATTTCTTAAATAAAAGTTTTAGGAAAGAGTAATTGAATGAAGGATAAGATTTGAAATAAACATCTCTAAAAATAAATTTGGTTTTATACCCGGAAGATCAACATGAAGGTTATGGATTTGATTGATGGGCAGTTAAGAAACATCGTATGGAAAGTTTGTTTGTGTTGCTGAGATGAAAATGTTGAGATAGATGTGGAGTTACTAGAAAATATAGATAGAATTTTTTCATTCATGAACAATTAGCTATTGATTAGATAAACGAAGTATAATTGTTTAAGATGATATAGTCATGTGCTTAGAAGATCAACAAATGTGTTAGTTAGAAGAGATGAAATGATTATTAACTTAACAAATATGTAAATACTTTCAGCTTAACTAAGCATATGCCTCTTTACATATCTCTGCATGTATTCAACCCAAATAGTTGAGATTTTATGACTTTGTTGTTGTTGTACACTTGTATTATAAATTAGTTAACCATGCTAACATCCAAATGAAAAGCATCTCTTGTCATGTCTTTTGAGTTCTTAATTTTTGCTTTTACTTCTGATTGTGCATTTAGTTGGTTGGAAGTCTATAGTCTATAAGTCTAAAGCTAGGAACCATCAACTAGCAGGAAGGAAGTGATAGTGATCGAGAAAGTAACGATGTGGCAAAAACATATCAAAAACCTCAAAAACGTGGTCGGGGGAAATTTCGACTTATGCCCAAGGGTTCTGATGGGTGCTCTCCTGATCAGTCACAATATCAGTCAGTTTCATCAAGATATGGATGCCTATCTTTGTTGAAGAAGAAGCGTTCTGGAGGTACGTGCTTTCAGCACTATTTTCTATGTCATTTGGCAATTGTATTTGCTCTAGCAATGGAGTGCCTGCAATTTAATTGAAATGGAGTTTTAATGTGCATTTTGTTCAAAGAAAGTATTGATAAAGTGACCATATGTTAGACCAAGAATTCTCCACCACCAGGGGTGTCTAGTTTTATAAAAATATTATTACAAGATAATTCTTCTCATTATTCAATTGCTTTGTTTTGTTGCCTCCTGTGCTGTACTCTGATCCTCCACATTTTGATTCTCTGAATTCTCTAAGCAACCGTTATTAGGATAACTTAGTAGATAGGGTTTGTTATGCTAGATGAATCTTTTGAGTTTCTTTTATCATTATAAAATGATTTTGTAAGGATTTTTACCTTTTTAACCATAATTGTTTAACCAACCTCTTCTTTGTTTCATCATGGTCCCAGATTATTGTTCTTGCTGCCTTCCCTATTTTCTTCCCTTCGTTTGATGGATGGAGTGATTACCCTCTTTCCTTTGTTTGTGTGTGCATATGAATGCATGAACACTAGTGGGTGTCTGTGAGCATATGTGATCATCAAGATATTTTTTTCGCCATTCTGATAAGATCATTTTTGAAAAGCATTTCGACCTTCTTTTTCTTTTTTATCGTATTTGTCAAAAGCTGCTATGTGCACTTTTTTCCATCAAGATTATTGATTTTTGGTAATCTTGTGTTAATCTTAGTTCAAGTTGGTGTATACTGTTTACTAACTAAAATATATTCTACCCTGTAAAATTGTCCATCAGATCACCACTAAGTTGTTCTGAGATATCCAAAAGTATATAAAAAAAATACCCTACCTTATGCCCATTTCCATTTTTCTTTCAAAAGAAAAAAACAAATCTGAAATAGGATGTGAATCCCCCTGATGGTTTTGATCATGTGTCAAACAGTCTGCGCATTCAGTCAGACTCAATGGTCACTGTTGTTTTGCCCTTGTTTTTTGGCACCTCATATCTTAAAACTTAAAAGGACCTGTTTGAATAACTGCATGACTCTGGTTTGCAGCTTCATCTTTGGTCAATCATGTCTCTCATCAAGATATATCACAACCACCAGAAGAACTTTCATCTAATATAATCTGAAAAGAGACATGTTTTGTTCTTATCCAAAGTTCCAATGTATCAACACTGCATAAATATGAATATTCAACAAAAACCTCCAAGATTGGTTCTTTGACCAACCTATCATGAGAAAACAAGAACAATGCATCCCAATATTCTAACAAAACTCAGCCCTTGAAGGAACAAATCTTTAGAACTAAATTCCACATCTTTGTGAGACCTGTAATTCCTGACGTCTACCGGTGAGCTCTCCTCTACTCGGTCGACGACTTTGGCATGGGCAAAATTAGATAGAATGGGAGAAGTGGAGGCAAAATGACACTTTGATGAGCAGCAAGAAGACAAAGAGCTTGATAAATATTTAGTTTGCTCGAGGTTTCAAGTTTCGGTCTGAGGGTCGGATTGGCTCCTGGTCAAACCGGTATGGGTCTGATATATGCCAGTATACCAACATATGATCTGACAATGTTGGTTGGCATGTACCAAAAGTAGGAGGGAGAGTAGAAGGGAGGAGTAGGAAGGAGGAAAAGTGGAGGAGGAAACCTGATGATAAAGCAGGGTGGAGGGGAGGAGGAGGGAATGGAGAGATTTTGAGAGAAAAAAAGGGAGATAGAAAGGAGCATGGATGGAAATAAAGTAAAAAAAGAAGACAACTATCAAAAGTTGTAAAAGAATAAAAAGAAGATAGGGGCACTGGAGTCCTGTCAATGGTTTCATATCCAACTCCATCCATACACATCTAGCTTTTTCAGCTTCTAAATAGGATGACATAATTGATGAGATGGACATAGAGAAGGATGGAGAGAGGGGTTGATGGGTTTCCTATCCAACTCCATCCCTACATATCTAGCTTTTTCATCTGCTAAACAAAATGACATAATCGATGGGGTGGATAGAGAGAAGGGTTGATGAAGGAAAGGACAAAGTAATATGAAAATAGAATGTCTTTTGGTGGCAAATATTGTTTTTGCTTCCCTTCAAAAAATATCTTCTGATGTGGCTCTCTATTAAACCTTATATGTAGATTCCAGTATGAGGCCATGTGAGCGCCTATGGGCTCCGTAAGAGAGCCTCATTGGAGGAGAAATTTTTTTTGTAGGATCATTGGTTTGCTTTTCTAGGTGCTTCTTCTGCCAGCTATATGAACCATATACTTCCTAGTCTGCTTTATCAGAATTACATGTCAATGGCAAGATCAAAATCAGCATTTATCATCTGTTCTAATGGGAAGGGGGCTCATGGAACATGTAGATCTATCTTGGATGGTTGTGCTGCTGCATCTGTTTATTGACAAGTAGCCAAGGGTGTCTGTTCTTGTTTTCTTGTGTGACTGTGAGCCTGTGGGTGATTTTTTTCTTCATATTGAATAAAATTGCTTTTTCTTCATATGAATAAAATTGATTCTGAAACTTTACCAGATTTATTTTCGGGGAATCAACCTCGTGCTGTTGGGAAAAGGACTCCTCGCATCCCTGTTTCAAATATGTATAGCAAATATGACAAGGAAAAAGCAACATGTTTAAATAAACAGTCTTCAAAGTCAGAGGTTAATGCTGTTGATGATGAAGGTGCTCACGTAGCAGCATTGGCTTTAGCAGAGGTTCTGCAAAGAGGTGGCTCACCGCAGATATCTCGAACACCTGGAAGCGGAGTTGATCACGTGAGGTCTTCTCCTGTTAGAAGCAGTGAACAAAAGGTAATTCTGTGATTCTTTTAATCTTGTTGCTTTGGTTTTGCCATCTTTATTGAAACACTCTTCCTGTCACATCTAGAGCGTCGAACAGGAGACAGACAGATCAAAGTTAATCATTCAAATGGATGATGATTGCCATGAAGCTAGTCTAGGAAGTAGGGAAGCTGAGAATGGAGTATTTGCTAGAGATGTTAAAGAAGGTGCTGGAGCAGTTGAAGCTCCAAAAAGAATGAAGAAGCGCCAAGGAAAGAGACCAAAAACTTTTGATACTGAAAACTTCCAAATTGATGATGATAGAGAAGCATGTAGTGGTACTGAAGAAGGATCAAGTGTCCGAAAAATTAAAGATGAAAATGACTTGGAGGTTAGAGACAATAAAGCTGCTCGTGGATCCAATGGTTCAAGGAAAAGAAGCCGGCAACTATTTTTTGGAGGTTTGCTGCAGATTGTCTTTGCTTTACCCTTCTAATTTTTCATGATTGTCAATGGTCTCAGCTTTTACATTTTCCTTGATGGATTTATGGCTATGATCATGTTCACATTAATTGTTTTGTTAGCTTGATTAACTAGGATTTGCAATTAATATCTACCTGATGATTTAATATTTCTTTATGGTACCTAGCAGTAAGAAATATTACTTTTGTACTTCTACATGCTGCACCAAATTACTTGTGTTCTGCATCTAGTGATTATCTGATGCATGTATACACACACACATATATATTTTCAAGATGGTTCATCTTGAAAAGTTGTTGCAAAACATTTGACAACAAGTTGGTTTTGTTTCAGCCCTCTGATAGTGATTATGAAGCCTTTATGTTAGCCATATGATCTTTTGAGTGATCCTTCTCAATTGTCAATACAATGTTGACATGCATATGACTGCATTTATTATTTTATTATTATGGGTTTAAAAGTTTTCAACCTTTTTTGTCGTTATAATAAAATGAGAGAAGTCAAAACCTACTTCTGGTGCAGTAAAGGATTCAGGAATTTGTATCTTGTAGTATCCTTGCCAAGGCTTTTAATATAAAGTCATTTCTTTTACTTATCATCTGTCTTTTAATACAAAGCCATCAGACAGTGGTTATGAAGCTTCTTTTCTGTCTTTGTGGCACTAATAAATTTTAAAAAAATACTGAATTTTCATTTTCATTGTTATTTATATTATATTTATATCGGATGATATGTTATTTGGACATGGTTGTTCACCATATTGGTTTTACTTTATAGATGAGAATTCTGCCCTGGATGCTTTGCAGACACTAGCAGATTTGTCTGTTAATATCTTGCTGCCTTCATCTGCTGTTGAGTCCGGTTAGTTTTTTTACCTGTATTCTTTTTTTGTTCATTTTCTCTAGATATGATTGTCGGAGAAATCAAGCATTATAATTCTTATGTTCATGTTTACACTATGATCTATTACTTTTGAATCATGTAAAAATAATTGTCTCCATAACTTTACTTCAAAAAGAACTTTTACATGTTATTGTCTGTTTCCTACATGTTCTTGACAACAGTGTGGAGTTGTACTGGAGTTTACATACACAAAGGTGTTACTGTTGAAAGTTCCCTACAATTATAATTTCTTCTCTTCTTGTTCGATTGGTAGATGTGACCAAGGATGGTACTTGCTTCTCTTCAACAAAGATTAGTTCTTAAATTGGTTTGAGCTAGAGAGTTAGACTTCTAATCCCAGGCTATACTCAAGCATGGTATCTCCATGCGACTATTGGAATTTGCCTTTTAATTGAGCCCGTTTTCATGTTCAATGCCGTAGTACAGAGGTCAAAATATAGTTTGTATATCACTTGATGTTTTTTTGTACTTTATACCAATTGAGAGTCTGTACCTGTAAGACATGTTTCAGAGATTTGCCATAACTATAGACTTTACCTGTAAGACATTATGCTTAGTGGACATGCCCAGGAGCAAATATTACGTAGTGGATGACTGATCTTAAAAATTTTAAGATGAAATCACTTGATGGCGTACTGAAAACATTATGCTTCTAGTTATATATGCAATGACAATTTAGTTTTAATGCCATACTTTGTAGAATTATTTTCACAGGGTACCTTTGTAGTTTTAATAACAACTATAGTGCCTTTTATTTTCCACATGAACTATTTATTATGTTTAACTACTATATGATGCATAATCATAATATAAAACTCAATCCAGGATCAACATCTACAAGTGCTGCATAAATCATTTCAACTTTAGAACCTCATGTGCTCCTCATCCTGCTCAATACAAAGGAAGTGGTAAAATATGGATCATCAAAGAGGAAAACAAATGACCCATCACTCATCCCTTTATCCTTCAAAAGATTTAAAATTATTCTTTGTGGCTTTGACGATAAATAGAGTCTAAACTCTAAACCCAGTAGACAATACACCCTGCTCTATCTTTTTCTGCCTTGGCCCAAATATTCATCATTTTAACCATTTATGAGCTGTTTTTTTTTAATTATTTGGCCTACTTTGCATTCGGGATCTCACAGTTATATGTGCCTAAGACTAGGTTAATGCTGGAAGCAAGGATTAATGTACTGAATGCAGTGGCGGAATACTATGTGCCGCTATACTAAATGTGGACTAACACATGTCAGACTGCAGCTATGGAATTATAATGCACCACTATATTATGTGAATCGCATAACGTGGTAGACATTTGTGCTTGTGTTCACTGGCATGGGAATGGTCAATGGATCTTGGTTCTTACTTAGAAGTTTGCTACCAATTGTTGAATTCAGAAAGTCATGTAACATGGCAGGCTTTTGCCTGTGTTCATTCTCATGTTCATGGCACAAGCATCTTCGTTCTTGCTCAGAAATTTTGCTAATAATTTCTTAAGTATGAAGTCATGCAAACTCTGAGGTACTAGATCAGATATGATTTTTCTTTTTTGATGATTGGTGATCAACTTTGCCTATCCTGCTTGACATGTGTAGGAAATGTTTTTACTTCTCATCTTTATTATGTTAGTCTATTGTGCAAGCATCTGCACGGATACTTACATGTGCATATTATACTTATTTTTGTTGTCTATTTCCTGTTCTCTTTGCTTCACATTTCATTCTTATTTAGAATTACTATTATAAGCATCTTACACTTGGAGTTCCTCTGTTTCTTATTTGTAATGTGTCCAGAATCGTCAGCCCAGGTTAAAGAACAGACAAATATTGATACTGATGAGAAGCCTGATATACCTGAATCATTGCCTTTAAATTACAAAAGAGATAAGTCTAAAGTTTCAGGGAAAAAGGAGAGAAGGCATTCTGCAGGTGTTGGTTCCGATACACTTTCCAGGAGAAGTTCAAAAGTTGTCAAGGGATTGCAACGTGACTCAAAAGTTATTGCTGAGATGAATCAGCAAGCTTGCGCATGTATCAATATGACAGAGAAGAGAAAAGGGAAAACTTTCTCTGGGAAAGTAAGAGATGCAGCCATTTCAGTGTTTTTGCTTTGTCTGATTTTTGCAGTTAATCATACTTATAATTATCTTTGTGTTATAAGGTTCCTTGATTATTTGACCTGTTATTTACCATTGGCAGATACCAAAATCTGAGTTCAGCAGTGAATCTCAAAAAAGTGAGCTGCAGAAAATGGAGGTACTTTAGCTTTCCACCATTGCTTATATAATTTGATTTTGCTTTTGAATGTCATTTTGCTGAAGGTTCAGAATGCTTTAGTATCTTAGTTTCTGCAATAGGATCCAACTAAAATTTATCTGTTGTTCAGTAATCTGTGAGCAAATTATTCCATAGAGATGGTATCTGATATAATATCCACTAGGTTCCAGAAAACCATATGCTTTCCTGAATCATATGATTCGTGAGTCATGAAATACTTACCTAATAACTCAAATAGAGTAAGGACTGCAATAGTCTCGAGGGACGTCTGCGAATTTTTTTCAATGCGTTTTCTTTTACAAAGTTACTTTCCTTTTTAATTCTTTAAATAATTTGGTGAAAACAAAATTTATTAGGTTCTTGTGGAAACATGAGTTTGAACCAATTCTGGAATCTGTAACAATAGGTTTGGACCTCAGGTTGGTTTATGATCCATGCTATTCATGCTCCCTTTTAGTACCTTGTCCAACGGCACTCCTTTTGGGGACCATTATATCTAATCCCATGGATGCACTTTTTATTTGAGTTTTCCTTGTTTTATGATATTGTTGTTGATGTGTTAATTTTGTCTTTGTAAAATGGATTATGTGGTTTTAGTGAACGGTTTGTCAGGCATAAACTTTTTACTTGTTTTGATTGGTTTATAAGTTGCAATGTTATGTAGTCCCATTTTCACTGATAATGTCATTGTTATTTCTTTGAAAAGGATAGTCATAAATTGACAATCAGATTTTGCATATGAAATTTAAGATGGCAAAACTTAGTATAACTATGTTAACTGTACAATTCTCTGGTTTGGCAACATAATTTGCACAAACTACCCACCAGTAAACTAGGTTGGTTTCGCACTATGATGGCTGAAGCTACAAATCTTCCTAGGATCAAAATTTTAATTGGCATATTTGCTGATTCAAAGATGTTGTTTGAACTTGATTTAAAGATTCTCTATGGTGACTTGAAATTAGCTCACAAATTCTTTATTTAAAATTAGTGGTGATTGTTCTCCTTAATCTTGGATGTTATTCTTTGTTTTATGTGTTCTGCCTCATGGCTTAACATCATAAGTTACTGTTTCTGCTATCGAGTAATATTGTCTGTCTAAGGTGCAGTCTTTTGGCCCTGCCCATGTTTACCTTTTACATTGTACATATCTCCTTCCCTTAAAACTGTATAAGTGTTCAAATTCTTGCTCACTTTTTTTACAGGTTTCTGCTGAAGAAGGGAAAAGATCAGTTGCTAAGGTTAGACGTGTTAGTCAAGTTAGTCCATTGCTAAGGCAAGGGAAGTTTGTTAAACCCCCAGAGAACTCTTCTTCTGTCGCTGATTCTGGAAGAACAGTTACTGATTTAAGCAAAACAACTCGTTTGGCAATTGAAAACCAAGTTAATTTGCTTACAAAACATAGAAGTCGTCGAAAGATAGGCCTGCAAAAAGCACCAGCCTGGAAGGATTTTAAATCCAATGATATGGGAGATAATTGTCCTCATAAATACTCCTATGCAGTCAACAGGATTGTTGAGCCTAAGGTATTTATATTTTATGTTCTGGTCAAAGTTGTTTTTTTAATGATATTTTAGTAATGTCTTATTTCATTCATTGCAGGAAAATCTTTCTCACTGCCTATCATCTAAACTGTTGCGTAGATGGTGTATGTTTGAGTGGTTTTACAGTGCAATTGACCATCCATGGTTTGCCAAAAGCGAGTTTGTGGAGTACTTGAATCATGTGAGGTTGGGCCACATACCTAGACTAACTCGTGTGGAGTGGGGTGTCATACGAAGGTATAGATTAACTTAAAGTCTAAACTATTAGTTCTGTCACGATCCATCCTGATGGGATAATTGACCTATCAATTTCTTTTGGCTCAAACTATTGGCCAAAATGCTTAAGTTGAAGTTGATAGTAGTACAACCATTAGTCCCTTATAAGTCTATCTTAATCTTTCTTACTTTCGATGTGAGACTAATTGGGGTGTTACAAGTTCTGATTTTTACTTTAGTTAAACTATGCTCTTGTTATTTCAGTTCTCTTGGAAAACCACGTCGATTATCTAAACAATTTTTAAAGGAAGAAAGGGAGAAGCTGGAGCAGTACAGAGAATCAGTTAGGACACATTATGCTGAGCTTCAAGCTGGTCTTAAAGAAGGCCTCCCAACAGATCTAGCTCGCCCTTTATCAGTGGGACAACGTGTGATTGCTTGTCACCCTAAAACAAGAGAACTTCATGATGGAAGTGTTCTGACAGTTGAACGTAGTAGGTGCAGAGTTCAGTTTGATCGGCCTGAGCTAGGGGTTAAGTTTGTAATGGTAATCCTTTTAGTTTTTAAGATTTCCTGTTAAATTACCTATTATCTAGTTTTGATTTGAAGTGTTTCTGAATCTTCTATGTTTTTTTTTATTTGTTGCCCAATTCTTTTTTAAACCATGTGAAACTATTTGTGACAACCTTTTGGTTACTCGCAAATAACTTCTCAAATTAACCCCACTATCTATATTATTATTGTTGAATAGTGTGGTTTGACGAAGCCAAAACCATAGTGATAAAAGGTTGAATATCAGTTGCATGAACTCATTGAGGATAGTACACCTGGTACTTCTGAAAAGCATTATTGTCCGAAGTATTCTGTTAATGACTGGTATTTTCTAATTGTGAAAATGATTCATTGTAATTAAATCTCACAAATTGTGAATGTCAATTTGAAAGTGACAACCAGCATCTTGAACAAAATTCATTGAGCTTTCCTTTTTCATTACTTTTTATCTACTTTATGGATGTGTTTGTGTTGGCTTTTTTACTCGGATTATGATGACCTGTACCTTAAATGCATCCTCAATACCTACTGCCACTATAGGTTTGCATTTCTGCAATTCAAACTTCTTGAATCTGGAAGTCATATTTACTACCTTGGTGCATTAACAATTTGAGATAATATGCTTGTGGCTTATCTATTGTGTATTGGGTTGCTGATTATGGCTCAGCACCTAGCAATAAATGGCAACTCCGTGATTCTCTGGTGTCTATTGCCTGTGGTTCATTTATTGTTGGTCATCATTATCCACATTCTCATGAACTTCTATCTAAACATTACCTCTATGGGAGTCTGCATCATCTGCTTCTTGGCCTTGTTTTTATTTCATTTGGTCACCTTCTTGACCAGTGTTTTTCATCAGTACTACAGGTCAAGATTTGTCCCTGCACTTGATACTCTCCCATATCTTCATTTTGGTAATACTGTCTAGCTTTCTTTACTAACTTGTATCCTTTTTCCACTAACCAAGTCTTATTGTGTATATTTATAATAAAAATTCTTTAGAATTGTGTTTCACTAAGAATGCTTTTTTTCCTTGAGGATTGCTTAGTTCATTTAGGCAGTGTCAGTGTGGGGTACCGGGTTAACAGAAATTGTACCATAAAAATAAATACTTGAATATCTAATTGTTTCTTGTATGCAGATTCAATATTGCTTTCTCTTTCACTCTTTTCTGATTACTAACCAGAATAACTTTTCTGATTTTATCACTTAGGTAAAATTCTAGCGTTATAATGATTTTAGTCTTGCCATTCCAATGTGCTTTTTCTTGTAGTGAGATGCTCTCTTAACAAGTACTAGATGGAAACAAGAACTGAGTGCTAGTTTCCTAATACCATTTCTTATTACTGAACTCTTAAATGACATGCTATCTTTTACTTTTTTTCAGGATATTGACTGCATGCCACTTAATCCATTTGACAATATTCCTGAAACTCTTAGACCACAGAATATTGTTATTAACAGACACTGCAACACCTTCAAAGATATGAAATTAGAAGATCCTCCTAAGGATTGGAGAACTGGAAGTTTTGACATTGCAGATGGGCGTACTCATACTTCTGCTACCAGTTATCAAATGAATACACTAATGAAGCAGGCTAAGGTTCTACTTTTATTATACTTTGTATTCTTGACTCTTGAGGAGGATGGAATATTAGATATTCATTAACCAAAGTGTGCTTCTGGCAGGGGGACACGATTGATGCCATCGTACAAGCTAAAGCTACCGTAAATCAAGTTGCTGTTGCTGCACAACAGGCAATGTATAATCAACCTTGTACACTATCACAAATTCAGGAAAGAGAAGCTGATATTAGGGCTCTTGCTGAGTTATCTCGTGCACTTGATAAAAAGGTAATGATTCTACAAATTCACACTTTTTTGTTCCAATTCCCAATAGTGAAAACCTCCACTATGAGTTGGTTTTACTTAGGTAACATGACTTTGAAGTGTGCAATCCTGATCTTTAGTAGGCGCCACAGTACTTGATTCCACCTGTGGATCCCAGTTTCCAAATCAAATGAGAAGATCATCAAACCAGATTGAACCCAAGTCAAATCTTAGTTAAGTTTTGCATCAGGATCCGATGGAGTCCTAACTAGCCCTCTTACCTAGAGGGAGGCCTAGATATTCTTAGATTAGGCATATACGTATATCTTTGTTCTTATTCTCAGAGATATTTTTTGAAGGTCTCGAGTCCTATTTAGAAGCAAATCGGTACTATATAATAGGGTTTGCTATACCGATGCGTACCGCTCGGTATGGGAGGTACGTATTGGTTTGACAAGATACCGATACATGGACCTCCCTCTATCGAGCGGTACTGGTCACTTGACCCCGTATTGGGTGATATGGGGCTTGTACCGGACTGTAATGGTTGAAATCCGATCGTTATCGGCCTGTATCGGTCAGTAACGGTCGGATCGTTACCAATCAAGGGCTGAGATTGCCCTATCTTAAACGGTCAATTTGACCGTTTAAGGCTTAGAAAAAGGGTTTTAAATCCTTTCCTCCCTCTTCTTTCAACTCATTTCACTCTCTCAATTTCTTAAGTTCTTTCAAACGCATTTTCACTGATCTCTCTCTTATTCTTATATTTTACTCTCATAAACTCAACAAAGTTACAATTTGTGGATTGAATCAAATTTAGGAGACTAATTTGGGAGGATTGAGAGGAAGAACATTCTAATAAAGAGGTGTATATTCTCTTTCTAGATTTTTGTTAATTTATGAGATGATTAAATCTATTCTATGCTATGTATGACTTAATGTCTAATATGTTGTTTGATAGTAGAAATTAGAATAGTGTTAACTAGAGAGAAATTGAGGTCTCTAATATTGTGATTAGTGTGTTTAATATTGATTTTTTTAAATTAGACACTTAATAGGTCAAATCTTTGTATTTCAGCATATTAAGAATTGGATCATATGTTTGTAATAGTATAATAGGTTAACTAAGTTTTAATTAAGTTTTTTATGTTGTAATTAGTGATTTTAATGATGATTTAATTAAAATTTAATCGATATTGGGTCAATTTAATATAATCGAAAAAGATATATGATATTATTCCTTCGTAATTTACATTGTTTTTGATAAAATTATACTAAATTTATATTTATTTCTAATTTAAAAACCCTAATCTAACTTTTATTATTATTATTATTTTTAGGTATTTTTGAAGGTTTTTTTTTATGATTTTGGGTGTACCGTCGATATGCCCTAGCGTACCATCGGTACACTTCGATATGTACCATACCGAGCAAGGCTCGGTACACTGGTACGGATCGAAATTATAATCCTTGGTATATAATATAAATTAAGTTAATTATTTTTCTAATTAGACTCATATTTTTGTAGGTGTTTTATGGAGATTTTGTTGGGATCCGAAATATATATATTTTTCTTATGAGCAGTTAAGATTCAGTTTATACCCACACTGCTTAGAAGATATGAATAAAGGTTTTGTGAGCCCCTAGACACAACAGATCATCCTTGTTCTTTTCTTCTCTCTTTTCTCCTTTCTTATTATTACTGTTAATGGATTGTGTCCTCCTCTTGAAGAAGGGAGACACTTGATAGAACATGCTAAATCCTATTAATCAGTGGCAGCAGTGTCTGGTTGCCCACTTTCATCTGCCATCCTTGCAGCTGATTTCCAAATCTTATGCCATGAGAGCATGCAATGGTAAAGTGATAGGAATATAAGGTTGTTCAAGCCACTTTCGTGCATCTGTCTTCAGTGAGAATCTATTCAATGAAAACTCACCTTGTTGATCCACCTCAATAGTGATCTCCAAATCTTCTGCTGTGAGAGCTGTAATGCATTTTTTTTGTTCACCTCATGTAGGTTATCATTCTAAAGCTACAGATGCTTCTTATAATTGCGGTTACCGTATGTGCATGCTGGTTGATATTTAAACCAGCTGTTGGACTATACATCTGTCCATTTGGACCCCTGGTTGACACAAGGAACAAACAACTTCTCTCATTTACTCCTAAGCTTGCAGAAATTTCTTCTTGATCTGAAGGATAGCATCCTAGTGCTAAAGTTTATTTTGATTTGCTGCAATATCTCTTTTAATGCCAATGTAGCATTTATATTAGTATAACTGATACAAAAATTTGGGGACAGTTGTGATGATTATGGTATTATAAACTATAAAGCACTTAGTGTCTTTACTTGTCTATCTTCAAGACACTTGCGCTTCTTCTGCCCCTCAAGCAATCTCACCTTTGTTTTTTCATCAAGCTGTTGTTACCAATCTTTAGTCATCCTAGTTGCAAACAGCTATGCACACTTACTCAGAGTATCTGTTTTCTGTTAACTGTTTGTTCCTTTTGAAGGGTCACTAAGGAACACCAAGTGCGATGGTAGGACTCAGTGCTATATGATAAAGTCATTTAATTTTTTTAGTTTAATTAATTGTATAAACAACCATCTTTTTAAACTCTATTCTGCTTTGTTTCTATATGCTTCTGTTTGGTTGGAAGTTGGAACAAGGTTACATCTCTACATTACCAGTGATTTAAAAAGGTGCTCGGGCGCTCGCCTAGGCGCTCGGGCGAGGCAAGGCCCGAGCGCCTCGCTAAACTTCCAGGCGGCGCGCTTCTAAGAGGCGCCGCCTGGGCGCTCGCCCGAGCCTAGGCGCTGGGCGCTTTGGGCAAGCGCTTGGGTTAAACCAGGCGACCGAACCAAGATTTTAGGTCTGGTTCGGTCTCCGATGGTTAGTTGGTTCAATCGAACCAACTAAAACCGATATCAGCTGTCGCTGCCCAACCCTAACCCTGCTCGTTGCCGCTCCCGCGCTCGTTGCTCGCCGTTGTCGTTGCACGCCACTCCTGTTGCTCGCCGCTCGCGCTCCTAATCCTACTCCTGCTCCCGCTGCCGCTGCCGCTCGCCGCTCCCGCTCCCGTTGCCGTTGCCTCCTTACATTCCCGCTCTCGCTGCCGCTGCCTCCTTACACTCTCGCTGCCGCTTCCTATTTTCTCAGTCAACAGTCAGCACCCCCTTACACTCTTCTTTCTTCTCCTTCTGTATACTGTTAACAGTATACAATGGTATACTATTAACAGTATACTGTATATTATTAATATTATTAGGTTTATTTGAAATTATTAATTTTTAATATTGTTAATAGATTAATAATATATTATTTTTATTTAAAATTTTAAATAATTATATTTATTAATTATATTATATATTTTTATATTTTAGCGTCTCGCTTCGCTCGGGCGAGCGCCTGGGCGAGCGCTTAGCGCCTTGGGTGTTTTTGGACCTTAGCATCTTTTGGCGCCTAGCGCTTTTTAAATCACTGTACATTACTAAAACTAATACAATTTTTTAGATTCCTTTGTATAACCTGTAAACCCTTAGCTAGCTGTAACTTTATATATGAGAGATTGCTGGGTGAAGGCCTTTATGGATGCTAAAAATAGAAGATTGCATTGGTTCCCTCAAGAGATTCTCTAATTTACTCCCTTTATCTTCTTGAAGTCTCAAAATGGCAAATAATCACCTAAAACCAAATTTGACACCAATTGCATTAAATTGAAAGCTTTCAGTCTGATTCTGTAGTTTAATTTGTCATCCTAGTGTTGTCTGGAAGCTTGCACTGTCTCATACCTCTCGACTTCATCACTTATTTACAACAATTGCTAAGTCTATCTTGTAGAAATCCTTGAAGTTAATGGAGATGCATTTGCAGGAAGCTCTGTTGATCGAATTGAGAAATATGAATGAAGAAGTCTCAGAAAAGCAGAAGGATGGTGATACCATAAAGGATCTGGATCATTTCAGAAAGCAATATGCCATGGTACTTGTTCAACTACGAGATGCTAATGATCAGGTAAACATCTTTGGAGGATTTAAATCCACATTTGACTTTAATGATATTTCTCAAGCACGAATCTGACCTTGTTATCTGGATTTTAGGTTGCTTCCGCCTTGCTTTCTTTAAGACAGCGTAACACATACCATGGTAATTCAACACCCCCATGGACCAGGCCAGTGGAAAATGCAGGATCTGTTGGATCTCCAGAGCCATTCAACCCATCTGCATTTCCCAATCAGGATATGGGATCTCATGTAAGGGAAATTGTTGAAACTTCTACACAAAAAGCAAGGACAATGGTTGATGCTGCTCTGCAGGTACATTTGGTGCTGTAATGAGTCTGTTCTTTTCAAAAGATATGAAGATTCTTGGTTTTTGTTAGGTATTGTGTGCTAAATTGAAGAATCAAACTTTCTGGATCAGATGCATACTTGATCTTAATCTACTTATGTTTTCATCGGACTCCTCTTGATATTAGCTTTTTTCCCTTGAGTTTTAGTTGATCGGCGTCTTTAAAATTTCTTTTGTTATATTCAGTCTATTAACTGAGACTAATAATTCTTATTGTCTTGGTATGCTTCTCAGGCAATGTGCACACTAAAGGAAGGAGAAGATGCATTTACCAAAATTGGACAGGCTTTAGATTTGACTAATAATCGCAACACTGGTTCTGGTATATTGGGAGTACATGGGCCTCCTAATCCAGGACATAGCAACACAACAAATCACGATCATCCAGCTAGCACATTTGACATCACAACAGTTCATGCACTTAGTCCAAAAACCAACAATTCATCTGATGCTGATCTTCAACTTCCTTCGGAGTTAATTTCATCATGTGTCTCGACACTTCTCATGATACAGGTAATCTTTGTTGGTGTGTACTTATTATTTATCCTTTCTACTGAGAATAATTGGCCATTTAAGTGGCTGGGTTTTTTCTTTACTTTTGAAGGTCTCAGAGGTTCAGGCACGAGTTCGATAACATTGTTAAACAAACTGTTAGGTTACTTTATACGTTGATATTTTATCAAGAGGATATTCCTCCCTCCTACACCCAACCACGTTCAAAAGTTACGGTTGATAACTTGGAACTGCCAACTCCAAATATTTTAATTGAAGCCTGAGTCCTAGATATTCTAGTGATTTGCATCTGACTTGTTAAAATTTTTTTTTCTCATTGTCAGTTTATCAGCTATGCTTTAGAAGACAGTATAGAAACTGACACAATGAGGAAATGCAAACAATATTCTCACTCGTCTGATCTTGTTAAGATAATTATTTCTTCCAACTCTGCATAACTTGGAGACATTTGTCTCTGGAAGGGACATCCTGTCAATTACTTCTTGATGGGTTTTTTAATCTTCCAACTCTGCAATGATCTAGTTTTTGTTTCTGTATTTCTTACATGTACAAAAGAAGATGTGTTGGTGCCTTTTTACCACCAAACATGGTCATTAAGATCAGTGTTTGTTTCCTTATTTGAGTTAAAGTGTCGTTTTAGGTTTTTGTCACAACAATTTTTTGGGCAGCTTGACATGACAATATGCTGGAGTACTAGCAATTTTGGTTTCTCTATTCTTTCAAACTTATGCATGTATGCGTGAATTATTTGTACATATATACAGTTACGTCTTTTGATCATAATGTGTCCTTTCAATTTTCCATTTATCTGTTCTGAGTCATGTTGTGGATTGCTTGTGCAGACGTGTACGGAGAGACAGTACCCACCTGCCGAGATTGCCCAGATTCTTGATTCTGCTGTCACAAGTTTGCATCCATATTCTCCACATAATCTACCAATTTACAGGGAGATTGAGACATGCATGGGTATCATCAAAAACCAAATATTGGCTCTGATACCAACTCCAACCACGGCCGCCCCTGAAATCACAACATGATAAGCGTTCACTACTTTTTTTTGTCTCTGTACTACCTTCCTTCTTGGTGTAGTGCTAGTTTGTATTATGATAAATAGCCCCCCCCCCTGTTATTCAAAATGGGGTCTGTGCAACATTCCATTCAGGTATTTAAATCAAAGCTTTTACGCTTCTTGTTTCCCTCTTTCTCATCTTCTTATGCCCGTTAACAGATGATTCCCTTCACTAATGTAGATGACAATAGGATGTCGGCGCAGATACCTGACCTTAATAAGTTGGATAGGAAAGAGTCCCATACTCCTGTTTATTGTGTTGTCTGGGTCGCAAAAGCGCCGCATCATACTGTAGTTTATTTTTACTTTTTAAACTCTGTTCCATAGAGAATGAGATGGCTCACTCGTGCCGTTGGATCTCCTCGCATCCCCGTCATCAGCCACTCAAGTTTATCCATTGGCTTAGAGTTGTCCAACCCAAATCGATTGTCATCGCTGTAATTGATAATAATAGCTACTTAAATTATGTTACCAAGATCTTTTATTGTATCAGTAGTGTTCTCACTACAAAAAAGAATCAGTCGCGACCAGAATCGATTGTCTTAGAGTTGTCCAACCCAAATCGATTGTCATCGCTGTAATTGATAATAATAGCTACTTAAATTATGTTACCAAGATCTTTTATTGTATCAGTAGTGTTCTCACTACAAAAAAGAATCAGTCGCGACCAGAATCGATTGTCTTAGAGTTGTCCAACCCAAATCGATTGGCTTATGTTACCAAGATCTTTATCCATTGGCTTAGAGTTGTCCAACCCAAATCGATTGTCATCGCTGTAATTGATAATAATAGCTACTTAAATTATGTTACCAAGATCTTTTATTGTATCAGTAGTGTTCTCACTACAAAAAAGAATCAGTCGCGACCAGAGGCAGGATGGATAACCAACGGAGTGGAATAAATAAATAAGTAAATAAAGCTGAAAATTGAGAACAGCGGATGACTTTGTTTCGGTTTCTGCTTTTATGCGACTCCCGCGATGTACTAAATTAATAGCCGATTAAAAAGGCGTCGCGCGCAGGGAAGGCGGGAGAACGATACCCCATTTCTTCTATATATAATGAACCGCTCATATCCGACCACATCTCCGATTTCCATCGCGGTCCGCAGAAGCGAGGGTTTAGGGCGTCCCATCGGTCGATTTGCCATGCACCTCCACGGATGGGAGTCTCTCAAGCGACTCATCGGCAAGCGGCGCCGGCCCCGCTCCCCTCACCTTGCGCGGCTCCTCTCTCCGCCGGTCAGGCCCTCCCTCCCGTCTTATCTGTCCTCATTTCTTGCTGCTTTCGTCTGTCGTGTTAGCGTTTGAAAGTGGGATCTGGTTGTCTGTTCTTTCAGAATCCCACTAGCGATTCGAGGGGGGATGTCGCCAGCGATGCCGACACGCAGCCCTCCTCCTCGTCCGCGGAGGAACCGGCAACGACCATGGAAGGGCACGGAGTTTATGACATGGATTGGGTTTCTTGTCCCGTTTGTGATAGATCGATTCGCGGGACTAATCACAATGTGAACTCCCATATCGGTAGGTTGACTTCTTCGTGTTTGGTAGCGTGCTCCCTTAATGGTGAGGTTCAACCCGTTTGTCTTCACGAAACCTCGCTATTCAGCTGAAAAATAAAGCAAATCTTGTTCTGCAAGCAAATCCGTCGTGGTATTTGATTGCAGCCTTTTATGTGGTTTATTAAATCACAAAGTGTTGGAATCTGCATGCTTAGACCTGTCCACTGTATATCGGTTAAAAGCTCTAAATACTAGTGACGTTTGGACCTAGAAGATTATACCAGTCTTGAATCTTGATGTTAGTATTTAGTTGCTCCAATTTCATAAATTATAGGTACTAAACTTTCACTAAAATATATGCCTTTGGAAGAAAGTGGTGAAGCCTAAATATGGTTGGGACTTACGGTGCGGTTTTGTTATTGTTGCTGGTTAAGCCTAAATATGTTGTCAAAAGGTGAAGGAAGTGCTTATTATAGTTGGAGCTTTTTTATATTTATGATAAAATTAGGACATGGAATCATTTAAAAGAACTTACAATCTTGTTTGCCACTGAAGGGGAACATCACTTCATAAATGGAGCAACCATAATTGCTTACCGATTGACTATTACAGGTCAACTCAGTTAATTTAGTGATATATAGTTAAATTTGTTCCTTCAAAGAAACCAGAAATTGATGACAAAAAATGATCGTATAGTCGATGATGCTATTTATTACGTGGCTTATTACTCTTGGCTTTGACGATTTCTTTGCCTTGTTGCATCAGTGAATACTATTGGTTTCCAGGGCTTTGAGGCTTATTACTCCTGTGTTTGTTCACTTTTATGCCTAATTGTGTCCAAGGTTGTTATTAATTTAGAGGACACTTATTTCAAGATAAAAAAACCTTTATATATGCTAAAACAACATATTTCAAGATTATATTTGTCATTGTATCTGATGTTATGTGCTATATCATAACTGATTATTCTATTCATCTTGAGCTTGTGAGTTGTTGCTAGTTGAATATCCTTTAGATTCTTATTGATCTAACTTCTGGCTTGCAGATACATGTCTAATAGCAGGCACAAAGAGGAAATTTACCCAATGCACTCTTCTTCAATTTCAGTTCTTCAAAAGAAGTAAAATGGAATCAAGTCAGGATGGTGTAAAACGTGAGACAGAAGATACTGTAAATGCTGTGTTTAGTAGTAAAAATGATTCTAGTAATGCTCTTTTATTACCTGGAGATTCACACGGAAGTAGAAATGGAAACACACGGGGATTGTCCTCGGATCATTCTCCAAGAAATATAGAAACTTTTACAGAGATTGTTCCTCCTGAGACCACTGTACTTGATAATACTATTAGTCATGAGATAATGGTACCATGTGGCACCTATATGTTTCCTCAGATGAACATGGATAAGTTGGACGCATGTGGAACTAAAGGTGATGACTCTGTGATCACATTTGAGACTTACATTGTTGGCCGAAGATTTCATGAGAGTATTGAGTTGCAACAAGGTGCAAGAGTTTCTGTGGCGAGAGAACCTGAAAATGTTAAGGACAGGAATGCTATCAAGGTCTCTATTAGCTGGACTTGATTTTCAGCAAGTTTCTTCTTCCAACCATGGATTGATTTCTTTTGATAGGTGCTTTATGCGGATTCTGGTCGTGTGGAGATGCTTGGATATTTGCCTCGGGAATTGTCAAAGCATCTGTCTCCTCTAATTGATTGTCGTTACATAGAATGTGAGGTAAGCTTATACAATGAGTAGTGTTTTGATTATACTTCACAAGCAAATGCATCAATCAGTCCATAGCACATAGATTGATAACCAGTATCTTCCATAGGTAGCTAGTGGCCTGGCTAAAACAAATGAATCTGCCAGGATTATTTTTAGTCATGGGCTTAGTGCTGGAGTCTAGATTATATTTTCCCAATACCAGCTTTTCGTGTATGCTTTTCAAGGCCTGTAAATATGTATGCATTACTGATGATAAACTGACCCTAGAACGTTTTTTACAATTTAGAACTGAGTTTGATTTTTGCGTTAAAGATGGAGGTACATGTTTATGTACAATGGTCATCTGACATTTGCATTTCAGATCTGAACAATTTGACAATTACTTGAACATATATTTTCTTTGTCAGTGTTTGGGTTTTGACATTTGCTAGGACCATCCAATGATATCATTCATTGTGCCTCAGCACTAAAGTGTTGAAGTTTGTTGCATGTATCTTTCTGGTTGTCAATCTACTTTGCTAATGTTACCTTTCCATTTATCAATAACTTCTCTGATATATAATTGATGCATTGTAAAGCTCTGTAAAAGCTGATACCTGATAGATATATTGGCATCAGTGTCCAGTAAGATATAATTTGTTAAATTAAAGAAACAAATTTTATGCTTACATGCACATTTTCTCGCTAATTTCTACTTAAGATGATCTTAATGCATAGCTAATTGTAACTTTTTCTAGGGGTTCGTTGATTCTCTTCCTGAACTTCGCCATGATGATGTCCCTATTCAGCTGGTTTGTCAAAAATCTGTAGCCTGTGATGAAAAGAAATCTGCCCATCTTGATTTTTCTGAATCCCTATGGGAAAATTTTCTCCTTGCTACTGAAAATATCAAGTTGCAATCACCTAAAATGACAAAGTACCAAAAGAATTTTTCTTTGATGATTGAAGAGGTTATGAGCCATCATTCTCAGCTGTTTACTGTCGAAGAAAAAATGTTCACAGGTACCTTTGTGTGTTTTTTATTTCTGTATGTTCAATCAATACTTTATTTTATTTGCAGTAAGAACCAGGTGTTATCTGCTTTTCTTGATGCAGGATCTTTTAACTCACTATCTGATGAGGGTCAAAGGCTTTTTATACGTCTATACACTCGAAAAGGTTCTTATGACCTGGATTTTAAACTTTTACTAGCCATTGACTGCATGTCTTGAGCCATCCAAGATATCTAATTGACTTGCTATGCAACAAAAAAATGGAGCATAGTTGGCATCCTTTTTTATTTATGTTGTATGGTGGATTTACATCTGTAACTCCCTGCAAAAGTTGGAAATAATGGATTTAACCCTTGAAAAGTTAAAACTCGGCATATATCCCTTGAAAAGTGAGAAACAATACTGTTTCCTGTGACATCGCCCTAGGATTGAGTTTTCCATAATTATCTCTGGCAAGTGACGTTGATGTTGATTTTACTCTTTTTGAGCGACAACATTGAGTTTCAAGTCTGAAGGGATAAATCTGGTACCAAGCAGTGTTACAAGGGATATGCATGTGATTGTGCGATATTGTAGTTATTGTGTCACGAGCCTTAATATTTTCCTTCTCTGATACTGTATCTGTATTTAATTGCTTATGCCTCTCTTGAATCGGTAGAATGTGTTATAATTTTGTTGCTTGGTTGGGAAGTTCTTGGGCTTTTTAGCTCATAAATTCTTTAGAGAAATTGGAATGGGAGGTGCCAGAGCAGAAATGATTCTGTGTGGTGAGAATATATGATTAGTTTGCTGCTCCCTTTGATCAATATATGTAGCAGACAATATCCCTGTTGCTAGGGAGAAAATGCAAAAAAATAGAAAAAATGGTACTGGGATTTTGGCATTGTTTCAGCTAAGTTGGATTTTAATGGTTTGGTCAAGGCATGACTTGGTATGCTCAGGTTTCACATGTTCTGGACTTGAGCTATATTATATCCAGATTCAGCAAACACCAACTGACATATAGCTTTGATATGCTTGTAATCATTAGCTAGCATTCTGTATTTCCTTGAGGTTGTTTTAGCTGGCATTTTACATGTACATCTTGATTCTCTATGCTGTCTATGATTCAACTGTCACGCTTGAAAAAACTTAACTTTCCAAATTTTAGAGCTTTTTCTATTGGTTCTATTGGCTACACAGTGTTAGTGTTTTGTAATTTGTTATCCACGATGGAATCTTGGCTTTTTCCCCTCAGAGAACTACATTTGTGGAGGCATGATCATGGACCTTTCATATGCTATTCCTCTTTGTACTTGCGTTGGGTTTTAAGAAGTAGATGGTAACAATAATGGACACTTTCCCAGCAGAATTTATAGAATAGGATCTAATTCTGTATGTTACAACTTTATGCAATTTACTAACAATTTTGAGTTTGCTCAGGTCCATGGTTTCGGGTGAGCAACATTTCCTACCCTGAGATACAAGATCCACAAAAAGCAGTTGAGGAGCTGCAGTGTAGATTTGTGCCCTTTCTAGTCAATGTTTATAATAAAAAAAAATTCCCTCAGTATCTAACGACAATATTTACTGTATAAAGTGGCAGGCTACATCTACTCATTTCAGTCTAGTGAGGATCCATTCATATATGATATGAAAGAGGTTATCGATTTGCTTAATGTTTCTGAAATGCGAAAGGTCATAAATTTGGAACTTCCCAAGGTTTGTACTATCATTCTTTCAGATACTCGTCTCTTTTCGTCTAGCCCCAGTTGTTCTTCTATGTAGTTGCTTCAGTTGTAGCTTTTATTAGTATGTTACATGCTCATCCTAATACTAATATCTGTAACTCATGAATTCAAGTAATATGCCTTATATGTGTATGGTCCATCCAACTTGTTTTTTCGACCCCTTTTGTACTTAAGTAATTTAAGACCTGCTCTTGATTGGGTGATTTTGGTTATCAAGCTCACATAGAGTATGCATGCTTTATGCACTTGAGATACAGCGTTAAGCAGCTCTTGGTTAAATGTGATAAGCAGCTCTTGGCCAAGGTCATCTTTCTTTTTGCACTTTTATTTATATTTTAGATGTTGTGTCTTATCTGGAGCATGTTTGGATGGTTTGTCCTAATTATGGATGTTGACTGTAGTTTGTGCTCCTACATTGATACATGGACTTCTGGTGACTACATATTAAGAGCTCATATGTGGACAGATACGGGTCCAATATATATGCTGGTCTACATTAATTTTCTTTTTTCTCTCACTTTATTTTGAAAGTCATCTTAGTTCATGGCAGGATGAATTTGTTTATTACTTCCTTTAAGTAAGATATTTGAGTCCTGCTTGTGTTGTTCACACAGTTATATATTATGTTTACATAGAATATTTAAATACATCTCAGAAGCATGAAGCTTAAACTACATATATCGTTGATTTTAACATTTTTAGGGGCCTTTCATGAAATAAAATATATTATTGATTTGGTGCTAAACAAATCAGTCCGACTTATATAACTAGAACACTTGGAAATTATTGCACAACTGAGGCACAATGCTCAATCTAATTATAATTGAATGATAATTAGAAGACCATTTTCTCTTTGAAGGCTTCTATTTTTACTATGTGATGTGATCTTGAAAAATCAGCAGCCACAAAATTCTATACCAGTATAATTAAGTTACATAAAAGGATCTTTTTGAAATATATATTCCAAATGAGTATAATTGCAGTTCTAGAAACTGTATTTTCATGTCCATCCATCTAATGTGTGAGATCCTAATTCTTAGGCATTTATTTATTTATACCTAATTTCTATTCGTTGTATGTATGGTGGTTTTTGTGTATGTGTTTGTAAATATTTTAAGATACATGGATACATATATTTATGCCCATATATGCATTGACAACACAATATACATATTTATGTTGCATGAGCCTTATAGGAGGTAGTCATATAATTGCTATATGTGGCTATGTAGACCGCATTTTGGAACTCAGACTATGTTGACCGCATATATTCCATATAATGACATCTTTTTTTCCAATCCCATATGGTCGTAGCAAGACCTCACATGCTTGTATGCTTACATGGTTCACCTTATCGGTTCATACTGATGTATCGATCGACTGTCGGTACGGTATGTACCAAACCATACCGATGTACTAATATATGGTGTGATGGAGTGTACCAACAAATCGATATGTACCACCCATACTGAGTGGTATGCCTCGGTATGATGAACCTTACTTATACCTACCATATAAAGATCAAATATTGAGCACATGAAAAACGTAACGATCCTTGTACTGGATCTTAAAATACATGTTCTGATATGAACACAATCAGGCTTAGCACCAGCAAATCACAAGTGGTTAAAAGATTTTGTGCTAAAGGAACTTAATTGAAAGTACCAGGTAAAAGCATGATTAATGTGTGTTCAGTTAGACAATGTTTGGACTATTGAGCAGTTAAGGCTTAGCTTGCTATAAGCAAGCTAGACTCGATGAGAAGATGGATTGATAACTGCACTTGGAGGCCAAATTTGAGATATTATAATTGCAGAACTTAAATTTGTTTAAAATAAGGGGAAATTTGTTTAAAATGTTCTGAAGGATTCCTTGAAGGACTTAGTAGTGTTCTAATGTTAATAAGATGGATATGCTAAGCAGAAAATGTTGATTGATTTAGGGAATCAAATTTTAGTTGTATTATGGACCATTATTTATCAGTCCGACCAAGGATTGGTTTCAAACAGTATAGGCCAGAATCGGTAAAAGAAAAATAATTATCTTTTTTCCAGTAATACCAGGTGGTATATTGATAACATAGCAGTCTGATCGGTTTAGCGAAGCTGGTCTTGGACCAACATATAAACCCTCTTATTTTAAAGCTTATATTTGCATTTAGTTTCTTTATGAGGTGACAAATGCGTTTTGGACTTCTTTTTTAATGTATTCATTACTAATTTTCTTTCATCTTGTTGATTGGATTTCTTTTTTCGGTTGAATATTCAGAAGAGAATCAACTGCGCTCGCCGACATGAGCTTATAAATATCCTCTTTTCTGCTTATGCAAATGGAGCATGGTACAGTAATTTCATTTTTGTGCCTTTTTAAAGTTTCTCAATATTGTTGGTTGTAGTTTAACTATTGATTTACAACAGTCCACTGCTACCAAAGATGGTTCTTGGACAAGTGGGAACCTGCATAAGAATTTCTTCCTCTTCTGATATTCTATTCTGGCGTATTCAGGTTACTTACCTCACCTTTTCTCATAATAAGATTCTCAAGCTTTGGATATTACCAGAAACCGTTAGTTTGATGTCAGTTATTTATAAAATTTATAGTTTTCTTATCTTTTTTGTACAGAGGCTCTTTTTCCTTAATGGTGAGCAGGATCTTTCAGCATTTCTTTTAATTGACCTTGGAATGATCAAGTTCCCAGATTATGTCTGCAACATTTCTCACCGAATTTTTCAAGATCGAACTGACCTTCTTGAATATGAAGAGGTGCCATATTTAACCTTTGATATACATACTCACAACCGGCTAGTGTACTTACTCTGTCCAAACATCCCAACAGGCCATTGAAGTGGCACAGATAATGGATGAATCTCTAGAAGAAAGTAATATGGAAATGGTGATAAGATGCATTGATATATCTGATATTCGAATGTGTACAAGTTTCAGGGGAAAATCTCAGTCCTCTACCTCTGGCACTCCACCACAATTCTTTTCTACTTTTTCAGCATCATTTGTTTATTCAAAAGTGCTCTCACTCGGAGTTTCTTTTTTTGAGCGTGAACATAGGTACCGTTATTCTCTAACTACTATGCATTTCTTTAAACTTCACAATAATATGGAATGTTGAGTGGTACATTTTTGGTGGAGTGCAATGTTGAGTGCTGATCTCACTCTTTTTGGATGTCATGTTTTTCCAATCAATGATCAGACGACAAGCCAATCAGAATTTTCTGTTACCTCAACGACCCTTGGACATTGATGACCTTTCCTTAAAAAGGACTTATGAAATCTTCTCACAATAACTGATCGTCGATGTCTTTGCTCCTATTCAGTTCAATCTGCTATTTTATTTTATTAAACGAAGGTTTTCTTAAGGTTCTGCATTAAGGTGAAATCACGAAAACAATCTCTGTCAGAAAGCGCAAGGCTGCACAGGTAACCCTCAAACCTTGGATTAACAGGAGCCTGACGCATTTGGCATCAAACTATAGTTAGCTGGCATATTCACTAGTTCTTATGGTGTTGATAAAGTAGAATTTCTCCAAATCCTCTAAATAGTGATTCTTTTGTAGAAAAGCCAGAAGGTGCCAAGCTTATAAATTGTCTTAATCAAGTTCAGTAGTCTGGCATTTCACAATGCTAACATGTCCTTGATGCCGAGTGCCAAGCATAACATAGGAGAGCTAGATCCAAGTTTCATATCACTATAAATAGCTACTGATGGTTTCCTATTGTCAACTTTCCATTGTATGGAATAATGCAGAAATATAATTCGAACCTTAATCTCATCCTGATTCTGTAGTAAGCAAGTGCCTTACCTGGATCAAACAAGTCTTGCTCATTAATTTAGAACATTCTTTTGGAAATGGAAACAGAAATGAAGTTTGAAGCTATCCTGGCTTAATTTTTTGTTGATTTTATCTCTCATATTGTGACTAAATCATTTCCAGCATCATCCCTAGTTTTCTTATGTCAATGGCTATTTTATAGTGTTCCTATTTTTGCTTGGTGTTGTATTCATATTCTTTTCTTCACCAATCTTTTAATGAAGTAATGAGATGATCTCTTGTGCAAGTGAAGTTTTTGGCCTTTGCTATTGTCATCTTATGTTTGCCTATAAATGATTTTTTTTACTGCAATTAACAAGTCTGGTTATTGTAGTCCACAGGTAAGAACCTTCCTGTGAGCTGAATTTTTATTTCACCCTTGCAATGTTGCTTTTGAGATTCCTATTAGCTTATTGAACTCTACAGCATCTGCATTTCCCTTGAATATGCTGTATTTGGACCTTCTGATGTTCAGCTGGCACCATGTGAAAAATCTCCAAGACCCAAAGTTCAATCCAAAATAACATATATCAATCTTTTAATGAAAATAGAATAGTATCTAGTTTTACTTCTTTTTTAGCTGTGGATCTGAGTTTAGGCACATTCGAGGATCTCTGAGTTGTGCTCCTGAAGGCAGAAAATCCTAAAATCATGATTGTGTATAGTCGCTTCTGTTTTGTTTATAATATTATTGATGTTGCTAAATCTCACATCAGGTCTGTGAAGCATCTCATATTTTTCTCTCCTCTGTTGGGTAATAAGAACTGCAATTCTTTGAGCTGTCGTCCCACATAATCTTGGAACACCATTTAATCATGTCATTTAAGCCTCAGGTGTACATGAAAGTACCTCATGATCATTCTACTAAGCATGGAAAGAATCTATGTTACTGAGGAAGAAGTTAACTTGAGAAGCAGTTACGGAATGTTTTTGACTTTTTTCTACAAAACTAACCAAATGTGTGATTGGGTTTTTCCAGTGTTTTTGACTGGTTATTATATCGGAAGAATTTGGCAAGATTTAGTGATTGATATACATGTTGAATTTTCCAGGTATGAAGATGCAATAAGGCTTCTTAAGGGACTCCTTAGGAGAATCATTCATGACAGCAGGAGAGGATACTGGATGTTGAGGCTTTCTGTTGATTTGGAGCATATGAATCGTCTCAATGAGAGTCTTTCTGTAGCTGAAGAAGGTATATTGGATCCCTGGGTTCGTGCTGGTTCTAGAATCGCATTGCAAAGACGGGTTCTCCGTTTGGGCAAGCCACCACGCCGATGGAGGATACCTGATTATGCAGATTCTGTTAAGCGAAAGATCAAAGAGGTGAGTGATATGAGCATCAGACTAGTAAAAATTTATAAAAAAACTTTCCAAAAGCTAGCTTAGCATACACACTAGGATTCATTTTAGCTGTAATTGCTTGCTTTGTTCTTAGGTTTGTATCAGAGGGAGACCTTTGACCAGTGAGACAGCAACAAAGAACTCGTACTATGGCTATGATGGTGAGCTGTGTGGAGTCGAGCAGCTAGCTCTGCAATTCTATGCGGAAGAAGGGGGTGGATGGAGTGGTGTCCACTCTGAAAGTGGCATTTGGATGACTATCTTTGGCCTTCTTATGTGGGATGTTATATTCTTCAACGTGCCTGATGTTTTTATGTCAAGATTTCAGGTTCTTTATCTGATAATCTAGAGGCTTCGCATGCAACACTTTGAGTAGCTCTTCTGACATCGTTAATCACTAGAGCCACATTTGTTTGATACATGTTCGTTGCTATTAGAATACTTCAATCTGCATGCAGCATCAGTTTGTTTAGTTTTTTTGACATGGAACCCACTACCACCTTTAATATCTCTAGTTATTACATATAATTGCATTCTATGAATTTGAGAATCACTGTCATCCCTGTGGATAGCACATGAGCTTTCTTGTAGACTGCTGTTAGTTTTATCATGTGATAATGTATTAGCCATTTAGAACTTTCCCTTATTATCTGTGCTGACTATTGAATCATCTTGACGACTTGTCCAATTAAATCCTTGTTGCACATTTATATGCAAAGTTGAAACCAGCCCAACTTGCTTCACCACTGACTGATGGTATGTATCTCTTGGTGTCTACAGATTGCTCCGTTAGACTTCGATACAGATGACTTTTATGTGACGAGGGAGAGTCTTATAGAATCTCAGCTGCAGAAGATAAACGGTGGCATGGCTGAGGAGATTCTGATCTCCTCATGGGAGTCTCATGTAGGAATCGCTTGCCGGGGTGTCAACTGGGAGCGGCAGTCACTTTCTGATCTACGAGTTGCTGTCGCATGCATTGGAGGCAGCCCTTTGGCTTCTCTGTGTCGGCATCTAGCAACAGATTACCGGAGCTGGTCCAGTGGCATGCCGGATTTGTTGTTGTGGCGTTTCCACGGAGACAAGGGTGAGGGTGAAGCAAAGCTGGTGGAAGTAAAAGGTCCAACAGATCGGCTTTCAGAGCAACAGCGAGCATGGCTGCTGACCCTTATGGACTGCGGCTTCGACACTGAAGTTTGCAAGGTAAGACCCACCCTGAAATGCCAATAGCATCATCGTGTTTCATCCTTGGTGTAGGTTTAGCTAATTCAATTTATATCGAGGAATTCTTGTGTACAACATTAGCATGTGACGGTGAGAAAGGAACAAAGTTATGAGTGAGAGAAAGAAAAAAAAGTTGTCGCTCCCAGATCAATAGCTAAATTCTCCACTATTTTGTATATAATTCCAACGGTGGTAAGCTTGGAATGACCATCTGCCTCACCAATCCTTTTCTAGATGTAACAGGGCTAGGAGATTCCGTGACCAGCAAGAAATGTTGTTTCAAGGAAACTCAGCTATGTGTGTGGTACTCTCTCTCTCTCTCTCCATAGTCCGAGTATATGATGATGATACCTTCTCTATTTGTTTATTGCTTTCGGAACGCTAGAGGAAAACTGCAGGAAAGAGACTACAAGCAGCACTTGAACTGAATACCAAAATATACCGGGCAGCCTTTGACCATCACGTTCAAAAAGATATCATGACATGGTGCAGGAAATAAACTGCGGCCCTCAAATTAGTTGGTGCTTCCAAACATCCATGAAAAATAGCAATCTATCGTGCTAAACCATATCCGTTCAGTGGGATCATAGAACTACAATTTTTTGAATTTTCTCGGCCATTTAAACAAGAGAAACATAGATCGAGTCACGTGGTCTGATAAAAAAAACAACACAGACAAAAGTGAGACTGCAAAGTAACTGTCAACCACCATCAGCAATAGTCCTTTTTGAAGTGCTGATGTATAGAACTGCAATCAAGAGCACGAAAATATGTCCAAGTCATAATAAGCACGGGGCAGAGAAAAAGGAGGAAAAAGGTCTAATGTGTCAGAAAATCATTGGCGTTTACCATTATTTCCTCTGATGAAAGCATCCCCATACTTGTTTTTCAGCTGACCATTGACATACTCCTCTGTTTGCTCCATTGCAATATTCATATATCCATCCAGACACGCTAGAATACCTACAAAACCAGGTGCTTCGGGAGTATATGAGAACCCATGAACCAACCACATGCAACTTTGAAATGTCATGCCTTGCAAAGAAGAAAAACTTATCATGGTTTAATCATAACCAACTAAACGATCAAGTTTTTTATATGATTGTTTCTGTTTCATGCTTTATATCAAACTCATTGATATAGTGAGTTCTTATGAGAACCTAGTATAAGACTTTCGAACATTGTCACTCTCTCAGTGTTTTTAAAAGCGTTAGGCACCAAGATCCCAAAACGCTCTCGAGACACTCTGGAATATTAAATGTTTTAAAAATATATATTACGATTGATAAATCTGATCATAAAAATAAAAATGATGATATGGTTTCCGATGGAGACCTATGTTAAACATGTCTCTAACTCGTGCTAATCAACTCTAACGAGTGGATTAATATGATACTAATAGTTCTAACAAATGCTAAATAGTTCTAAAGAAGGAACTGATAAGAATTGTAACCGACGACTACAAAGGAAGGTGGGGAAAGGAGAGGGTGACAATGACGGACGAAGGCGACGATGGACAAAGCTATGGATATATTAGTTGGTTCGATTGAACCAACTTGCTTATTCAATCAAACTAGGCTCGAACCCCGATCGAACTTCACTCGGGCGCTTACCTAAGCCTAGGCACCCAATGCCTGGGCCCAAGCGAGCGCTCGAGTGGTGCTTCATCAAAATGCCTTGCCTCGCCTCACGTCGTCTCACCCGAGCGCTTTTTAAAAACAATGGTCTCTCCTTCCACAAAATAATGAAATTCATAAAGATTGGAAAATGCATCATATACGACCATGGGATAGAGCTCCACAAAAGTAAAACTTTGGCAAACAACCAACACAAACTAATTGGAAAATGAAATAAACTTGGATTGTATCACATGCTTTATTTTGAGTAATGCTATACTGCTAAAACAACTTGTGATTGTTGATTTACTTGTTAACTCCTAAATTAACAAAGATGAAACCAATATATACCTGAATGATCAAAACCCAAAAATTAACTAAGTTCAACTTATTAAGATCTATATGAACACCAAGGTCCACCACATCATCATCAACATCAACAAACCATGTAAACAACACTTTGTATGACATTGCATTTTTAACTTTCCAATCATCACACTATCATCTGAGATCGTTTTTAATTTTTTTATGAAATTTCCTCTAGCAAACCCTTAATTGCTATTTCACTTAAGATAAAGTTTGAATTGTCATATTGAATTAATTAATTATGAAACCATGGAAAGAAGGGTGGAGAGGGAAGAGAAGAGGAAGGAAGAGGGAGGGCAGCAATGAAGGGTAGCACAGAGCGGAGAAAGGGAGGAGAAAACAGCTACGATTATGATGGCTGACGGAAAAAAGTGGTGAAGAGAGGAGAGAGAAGAATGCGATGGATGCAACCACATAGAAAGCAAAGAAGAGGAGGGAAAATAAGAGGTGAGAGAGGGCAGGACACAGAGGAAAGTGGGAGAGAAGAGGTCAGTGGAAAACTCTAGAACAAGATAGAAAGTAGAACGACATGCAGATGTATCTGACGTAAAGAGATGTGGGTGGTGGTAGAACTGGGATGTCAAGTGCCTGAACTGAGCCACTCACAGAGGTGATCCAAACCTTGAACAAGCCTCGCCTTGTCCAAGATCCATCAAAGCGCTCAAGCCTTGCCTCACCTTGACCTCTTAACATCATGTTAAGAACTCCTCAATTTGTAGGTGAGAAGATATAAACGGAAGTCTTATTTTAAGGGGAACTTTAAAAAGTCTTGAGGCAATAACCTTGAACACTCAGATGTTCACGATTCAGATGAAGACCACCCAATAAAATCCAAGGTTCCAAAACCTCTATGAAATGCAACTATTTACCTAGGTTACAAATGCAAAATGATGACGTTGTATAATCCTCTTTTCACTACAATAACAGTGTTTCCAAGTAGAATCTGTATTATTTCAATCCACCAGTAAAATCTTGGTTTCATCAAAGACTTTTTGAACTTCATGATCATAGAATTGCAAAGGATCAATGATCAGAGATTACAATCTTCTCATTTCTTTGTAGTTTCTATTATTGAGTAGGCACTAGTATATATACTGAGTGAATGAATAATTAAAGCTGAAAGCTAGACTCAAGGTTTTGCAGGCTCAGATATCTATTATGATGAATAATGGTAATCAATGAACTGAGACAGGAACATGAAAGGAAAGCGATTCCAGGACAGACGAACTATAAAAGTATATTTGATAGGTAACAACTCTTCCAAAAAAATAAATAAAACTCAAGCAGGGCCAGATATATTTCAAAACATTTTCTTCTGGCTTACAATCTGCTTATTGGAAAACCAAGAAAAAATCCATCTCATACCTTGAACAACAGAGACGATAAAACCTAAGAGGACATGGCCAAACTTTCTAAAGTGCAAGACCTTCTAATAGAACCTGTGTAGAGGCACAGAATCTCCAGCATCCAAATATCCTCGAGAAACTCATTCAAATAAGTAATCAACCACGACCACTCCTAATCAAAGTATAAATCAAAGATCACAAAATGTGCTATATCATCAGGATAAATAAGTGCACAATCCTTCCCTATACTGACCCAAAATCAAGGAAAAAAAGTCACTACAAATAGGAGAAACTAAGTCCCCATATTGAAGTTCAACCTAAAAGTTGGACTAATATAAACAATTATGGCAATCCATAGGTTGCGGGTTGCGTTGAGAACAGATCTATTTCTTAGACTATCACGGGTGATTCTTACAGATGCTGATCGCCAGTGTCTATCATCACTCTACTTCTTCTATCGTATGCCGCTTTCCATTCAGTTCGCTACCCCAAGGAAGAGAAGCCACACAAACCCTAAAGCGTTCTCAGATCAAGACCACAAAGGTCGTTCTTAGGATCAGGACAGATCTATTTCATAGACTATCACAGGTAATTCTTACAAATGCTGATCGCCATCGAACAGCCCATCACTCTCGTTTACTTCTCCTGTTCTGTGTGGTTTTCCATTCATTTCACTTCAACGACGAGCACGAACTATGACGAGTTCTTAGGCCAAGACTACAAAGGTATAACCCGAGATTGTCTAGAACAAAGGTTATACCGAATCCACAGAAGTAGAACTAAAATATGATACGATTGGGTAGAGATGTAAGCCCAACACGCAAGCAAAAAACAAAATCAACGAATCGAAGCCTCGAGTACAAGATCAGAGAGGACGGACCTCGGTAATCGACCCCCGAGTTGAGCTTGACGACTACGGGACGGCCTCGGATTGACTTGAGGAAGTCCGACGGCGTCTTCGCCGACCCGCTCCCTCCGCCGCCGACCTTCTCTCCTCCGCCGCCAGTGCTCATAGAGGCTCCCCTTCTCTTTGCCCTTTCTTTCGGTGAGAAGGGTTTACGCTCGGAGCGATTTATCTTTACCAAATGGCAATGTTCCATTTTAACCCCTCTTCAAACTATATATTCGATAAAAGGACTGCTTATGTTCGGGTAAAGGACGAGTGTCGAAAAAAGTAAACTTATAGGTATGTTTTCGAAAATATATGCATCCTCGATCAATCAAAGTGATTTGTTTCTTTTTTGCCCCTTTACATATTATATTTAGGAAAAAGGACGTTGTGGTTGATCGTTACAACCACTTGGAAGAAAAGGGGTTGGCTGTCCAATATAAGTCCAAATAGGTAATTCTTCAAACATCCAATAACCTAAATGGTAAGTTTGCAATCCCACTATATTAATATTTTAGGTGTAGTTTATCATAACCTAAATGGTGAGTTTGAAATCCCACTATCATTAATGATAAACCCTCAACATTGTTCGAAGGGGCAAGTGGCAGGTGAGAGGTAATAATGAGAGTTAAATTTGAGCCGGTTCAACCTTGCTACCCTTGTCCCAAATCCTAAATGTCTTGCACCTTTCTTCACATTCTTACTCTCATATCTGACATCAAAGTGAGATTTAGGAAATCAAAAAGGAACGGTGAGTCAATCAATATCTTTCGAGATCCGTGGATTGATCACACAAATTTATTTAACCTTTGCCCCTTGATGATGAGAGGTAGTTTAGTCACTCCCAGTGATGCTTACCATTTCATCGAGGACGACCCTGAAAACAGAGATCAGGATTGACCGGGTTGGAAAATCCTGTGGAGCCAAAAGCCAAAATTTTTCTTTGGAAGCTATATTAGAATAGGCTTCCCACTTCTGATCCACCGTCCAGCATCCTTCACTCCCAAAAGGAGCTTTGCCCTGTCTGCAAGTTGGACGTTGACTCCCCGGAGCACATCTTCCTCACCTGCCGCATAGCCCAAATTTTATGGTCAGACATCCAGATCAAAGCCAAAGTCTCTTGCAGTTCTTTGATACTTGGGAGTTGAGCTCGTGGCTTGAGGAAGGAAAGATGCTGGACAAATCTCAGTCAGTCCACTCGGGACTATATTGTTTGAGTGCGATGGCTCTCACGGCTCTTCTCTTAACTCTGCAGGAATCGGCATTATCATGAAGGACGTCAATGGAAAGGTGGCTGCAGCATGCTGTGCGACTGTTAAAGCTCACAATGCCATCGTAGCAGAAGGGGCAGCAATCCTGGAAGCCCTTAATTCTTGCCGAGCGCGAGAGGGATGCTGCAAATCTGCACCGACACAACAAACATCGTTAACTATGTAAACGGCACCACAAACGCCCCTTTGGTTCGTTCCTCAAAGCCATTGTCAATAGTGTAGAGGACTGAAGGTGACCAAGTTCTGTCACATACTAAGGCAACAGAATTCCTTCTTAAGCTTTAATGCAATTTTTCCATTCAACCAGAAAAAAAAAAACTCAACGAGTGATTTTTGGTAAACAAAAATCATTTTCCTATTATTTTCTGAGTTTTCAGTGCCTGTTTTGAATGCAACATAGAAGAGAAATTAGAGAAAAGTTCATTTTTCGGTATTTGGGTTCGTAAAACATATATATGCATCTGTGTATCAAAAATTATAAGTAAAATTTCACTAGGATTTCTATGAGCCCGTAAAGAAGAAGAATCAATTATAAGAGTTGAGACCAGGCGCAAATGGTGATAATACTGCTTAACATGTTAGTAATCACACAATGACTATGATATGAATGCAGAACAAATTCCAAGGATTAAGAAACATGTTGAACTGCCAACAACTTCATTACCGTTAAGACATAAATAAATAATTAAGATCATCATAAGGCAAATACCATCCAAAGAGACACATGCAGTAGAATCTTGGTGCAAGCACTATATAACACAGACACACAATCTGATAATGCTATTGGCTAAATGTTATAAACGAACCTCTTAATTAGATCAACCCTTAGGAGGCAAATTCAGCACGGCTAACAAACTCCTTTATTACAATTTACTCGGTTTCGTGGGATTTTGGCATCGTCCAAACAAAAGTGCAGAAACTTGATGATAAAGTTTAGGTATTAGAAAGCACCTGCTAAACTCCTAAACCAGTTTATGAATGGTTTTCATGTCAGCTGCCTCCAGAAGAGTGCCTTTCTCAACATGATCCCACCACTTCATCAGAAAGTTGTTGACAACCAATCTGAACCAAGGAGAGAGCTTGACATCATCCTCACCTGCATCTGCTTTCTTCACTAGGTCTTTCAGCTGGTCTCGATTCACATACTTGACGCCAGCAACCTCATCAGGGTTTGGAAGAAGTTTCACGTCACGGATGATAAACAGCAGATAATCAACTAAGTGCAGAAAAAACATTCAGCATGTTAAGATGGAGAACAAATCCAACTCTAAGTTGTCAAAGGAAGGACTAGAGTACGGGCATACGCTCGTGTTCCCCCCATTTTCCATCAGATGGTGCCTTGTAGAGCATGCGCCCAAGAGGAATAAACTGATCGACAGGTAAGTCTTCTGCAGGAATTCCTAGTTCATCCGATAACTTCCTTTGTGCAGCATTTCTAGCCCCTGACAAATAACAAGGTTAAGATACCAGTTTTTTAACAAGTGAAAACTAGAGTAAAAAACCATGAAAAACTACCTAAGTAGTTCTCTGAAATAAGTTCAGATTCACGATAAAGAGGATGACTGCAGCAGGTATTTGTCCACACTAGCGGAAATGTCACCTTTGTTGCAGACCTTTGCTGCAAAAGATAAAAATATATCAGAAACTATATGACATGTTCAAAAGCCACGGAACTAAGCTGATCTGCATAGGACATCAAACTTATTGAATTAGAATTATGTTCGATATTCAAGAAAATCATGTAGATATAGCAAGGCATGTAGCTCTCAAATGCAATGAAAATTAACTCTGTATGTAAAATAGAAAAAGGCTTTTATTGCACAAGAATGTTATTCAGGTTCAGAACCAATCTTGTAAAAGCTTCAGGCCAATTGTAAATTTGAGTTCAGAAATTTTATTGAGTTTCAGTAATGTCATATCATGAAAAGCATGATCTGTTGATGGTATGTTAATACCCATTACATTTTTGATATATGCTAGGGGCAAAGTAACGATGTTATAGTGTAAAGGCCATGATGTCAGATACTGATAAATCAAATCCTTGTTTTCTGAAGATTTGGCAATCCTCCAGATCATTTGTTTACTTCCACCACTGTTTTGCACTCCAAAAACCAAATTGGAAAAAGGAAAAAGTACCAACAAAAGTACTACTTCTAGACTCCAAGAACAAAATATGAAAAAGAAGTCTCAACAACAAAACAATTTAGACTCCAAGTTAAGAAAGGTAATGCTATCAAAAATTAACTACAAACCTTCATTCTAGAACCTAGTTTTAACAGGAACTAAGATGACTCTGATCAGTGGTCTTAAAGAACAGTCGAATGATTGTTGATTTGTCTTAATGATCAATGATGCCACTAAAGAACAGAATAATTTGTGAAATTATTGAGAAGCTCTGATGCATGTGGTCCTACAAAAGGAGTACATTTTGTGATGTACAGTGTTACCTGTTTTTCTAAGAATAAGTATAGGTATTCACACCAATATCCTCTCACCCTCTCAGGCCTTGCATAGGCAGGAGTCGTGCACCAGGCTGCCCTTCCTATTAAATTTTGGTTTATGAAATGCACTCATTCAAAACCAATTACTATTGAGCTAATTTTATAAATTCTATCCATCGGCCAAGAAACCATACTTGATCCCCTCTAATTCTAAAGATATGAAAAATGGTAAAGTTTGACTCTTTTAAGTTTGTATATGTTTTACCTCAAAATGAAAAGTTGTAGGCTCTGAAACCAAAAATGCTAACTTTACATGTGTGGCTATCCTATGTGTGCATATTGTTCACTGTGACCATGTACACGTGGGATTGTTGATTTCATGCAATTCTTTTTAACTTTTAAAATAAGTTCCTGATAACTTGGTACCTTCAACTATGCCTTTAAGAGCACACATGTATCTTTCTTCCAATTCACTAGATTAGTCTCTATAATCAGCACATCAGGTAATCAATGCATCAGTATCCCAGGGAAATGTTACAGGTAATTAAACTGATTTCCAGTTCTGATAGATGCATGAATTCATCAAACAATTAAATCATTTTCATAAGAAACACAATTAACTCATCACAAGTACCTGAAGTAGCAACTCATACTTTGAGTTGAAAAGAAAAACACTAAAAGCTCTATGAAGCAGGTTCTCTGATTCAATCTTTTCCATCAGATGGCCTGAAGATAAAAGAAAAATCACAGTACAAAAACAATTCTTCAGAACATCCACATAAATGACTGATTGTTAAGGAGACCACTGCAAAGTGACAAACAGAAAATTTTAGGGTATGCAAAAAGGAAACATAACATGAACATTGCAAATGAAAAGCAATATATTGCTGATCTAATTACATAATTTTTTAAACTATAACAATGAACAATTAAGCTGCAAAAAACATTCATGAAAGCCATGAACATCAGAATACATCAGGACAAACGTACCTGATTCGCATTTTATGTTTTGAAATACTTTTGTTACTTGTGACAACTAAAAACCTACTGTATTGGCTACTTCTTTATTTAGATCACTGGGCTATAGATCACTTTAAGTAGCTCTAACTTTAGGCTTTACATAATGAAAATTTTAACCATCTTTAGTTAAACTCTTGCATTCATTTTTTGCTTTAGCCTATAGACTTGTTTGTATTTCTCTTAATATTATGCTAGTCTTGGTGGACTCAAATTGAAAATCTATTGGGTTTATATGCATTGAGAAGAAGATAACTCTTAAATACATAAGTGAAATCACATAAATTATTATTAAACCCTTAAATAAGTGAATGAGAATGCAGAACAAGGATACATATGCATTGCACAGCCATTCTTGCATGTGTGGGCATGCACGTCACATGAATATCTAATATGCATCTCTCTAATGAACATGATACATGGTTAAGACCTTGCAGAATCGACCCATGTTAAGCACACAAAGTACATACCATGCCTACTAGCCAGTCCAAATTTTGTGTGCAATGATTGTTGTGGTTGGTCAAAGTTGTTCTACATGTATAAAATCAGGAAATTCAAATGCAAAAAGAAAAAAAAGCCCAAAGTAGTACAGCCAATTGGTTACGTTAAACTTAAAGTTTCTTGGATACAAACAAACAATATCTTGACAGAAGCATAGCATAGAAAAAGAACCCAAAGAAGGCAGCTCCTTGACCCAAACATTGGTTGAGGCATCATCAAACAAACAAAGAATGTGTTTCATTTGACAATTGGTAGACAGTCAAAAGTAGCACAAATTGATCTACTTGGTGAAATTAGATGCACCACTCACAGTTGTATTTAGATTCATGTCCAATGACATTGTCATGCTCATCCACCAAGATACATCTGCATCACATGGAACAACCAACTTTATAATTGACAAAGAAATCAATATACATACTATAACACTTACGACAAAAGAAAAGCTGTCCAAACAACGTCTCTAATTGATTGGACAAGGACAACAACTATCTGAAGATACCACAAACGTTGATATTGTCAATTAGCTCAATAGCTGTAATCATGAAGGGGAAAAAGACAAAAGCGATCTAGAACTCCATTACAAACTGAGAACAACGTTCTACCAGCACTTCTAATTTATTTTATGCATATTACAGAAAAATATAAAGTAAAGCTCCAGGCGTCACTACACCAGATTAATGTGGAAAATATCCGAAAAGGAATTTAACAGTGTCTATAAATACATGAGTAGTTTCAGTGAGTAAATGCAACAAAAAGTCAATAGGCAAAGGAAGGAAATAAATGTTCAATAATCAATAGATTTAGATTCGCTCATAAAACACATCTGGCTGGACTAGCTGGACTAGTGCATCTTTAATGCTAACATTTTATCTAAGCAACCAATATGAACACATAAAGTGGATCAATATATTCTCTCTCTCTCTCTCTCTCTCTCTCGTTTCCGCAGAACCACAATTACCTGCCATTTGGAGAATGGTAACATACTTCCATCACAGATATGTAGTTCATATTTCCAATAAAGACGGAATCCATGTATCGATTCCGAACGTGCAACGAAAAACAGAGTGTAACCCATAGCCATACATGCACGAATAGATGGCACAAAAGGAACAAAAGCAAGCCACAAATCGGTATCAGCGCATGGATCGAAGAGGAAACGAAGCAAAAAGTGGGATATGGGGAGAGAAGCTCACTCGTCCTCGAACATAAGGCGCCTTTGGACGGCATCCATGGTGGTTTCGTCGGCGACAGCGGCCATCGTCATGGAGGCGGGAGCAGATCTCGGACGAGGGGAGAGGAGAAAGCGAGAAGCAGAGGAGGCGGATGCGATCCGAATGGCTGGCGACGCCACCGAGAGGGCGGCATGTAGTCGCGTAAGATGGGCCGACACGTGCGTCGGGGTTCGTGCGCTTGCTTTCTCTCTGTCCGAGTACACCGCCGCACGAGGCAGCATGCAGGAATCTGCCTCCCCGTGGCTCGTCGTGCCCCCTAAGCACATGATACACGATTACATATGAATATGATATCCAACTCAAATATCAGACATGAAGACTGAAAATTTGGATCCAATCCGTGAGTCGATCGAATCCAAATCGAACCCGATGACGCCCATTTAAAGGGTGACTCGAACCGAGTTGGTTCACTAAATTGAATGAGATCCATCTATGCTCGCCTACGACTTCTGTGGGTGCAAATTAATGGCTTGGGCAGGTTGAAATCAGCCATTGGTGTGTCGCATGCACGCGCTTCACGTGACAGTGACCAGGCCGGAAGAGCCGAACTTTTGGAAGGTGAATCATGCGGGTGCGGGAGGTACGGTTACCAAATGGAAATGTGGTAGACAAAATAAACGAGGTGGACGGCACAAATGTGTGGAGCCTCGGTGGCTTCCTTGCCCCAACTTTCAATGAACCGAGTTCACCCTGGGTTCTCTCTCTCCCTGACACGGCAGTGGTTAAAAGGGTGGGGCTCACACATTCTTGGGAATGAATGGGCCTCGCATGCGGGGGGGCATGCTAGTTGGTCCAACAATCTGCCGCCACATGTTCGAACAGAGGGCGAATGAATCATTTTTCCTATTCTTCTCAGCTGTCTTTATACGAAATACGATGATTTGGAGAAGTAGAGAAAGGAATGAGCGATACGCCTCTCAATTTCCTTTCCTACAATTCGAGCAACCAAAGATTGAAGTAGAGAAGATAAAAATCGCAAATGAAGCGACGACCGAGATGGAGGATTTGGTGAGTCAAAACTGGAGTGGATCCTACATCGAGCACCTGAAAAGGATGGAAAGGTAGGTGGGCTGACAAGCGCTCGATGAGGTCGGAAGAGTAGACAACGGAAGAACAATCGCTGGCGAACTCAAAAAGTGAAACTGGCATCGAAAGCTCCAATCCGAGGGAACGAAACCGAAGACTGTCAATAAATTTCATCAAGATCTACCTTTAGAGTGGACGCTCTGTTGTAACAGTTCTTCCCCCATCTAAACGCAAAGAGAGGCGGTTTATCTCACCGAGGAAACCGGAAGGCCGATGACTCGTCCGGCTCTGTAATCGGTGGCGGATTGGTCTCGGGGATGCCTGGAAACCGGAAGGTTTTGCCGAGGAGTAGCAGCGGAGCGTTCGCGCGGCGATCGAAAGGAGGCAAGCGTCTGGCTTAGTAAAGAAGCTGGAAGAGGTGACGAGTGCGGTCGCAAACTCCATGTCCAGCCCCGCCCCCCTCTCTCTCTTTCTCTCTCTCTCTCTCTCGGGGATTTCTAATGGCCTCCGGCTGTGCAAAAAATGATCGCAAGGACGAGGGCATGACCGCTCCTTGCGTCCACGTTTCTTGGCAGCGTTGCTACGAGCTTGGGCTGATACACCCGTGTGAACTATCACGGGTGACGTGAAGACCTTTTGTTCCATGCATCTGGACCCAGCATATCAGATATTTGATAGTATACTACATCACCCATGCCAATTTTAAGGGCTGATCCAGCCCTGCCTTCGACAGAACAGATACTCCGAAGTCTCGCGAACGGGCCCTGATGACGTGAGCTGGGCCCGGCTCTACCTCGCTCCGATCCACTCCACGAGTATCTCACTCCCAATCACATCGATTAGGTTCGAATCTGATTCAACCACGTCACTTACGTCTACCACATGTTATTGCCGAACCTAAATCTCCCACCGAAGGTTCAATCCTTCGACATTAGGAGCTATAGAAACACACCAAAGGTTCTTGCGAATTGTCAAAACATTGTACGGAATATGTATATAAACTTTCATAGAAGAAGGATCATCAAAATTGAGAAAATATTTGATGAAGTTCTCCTTCAATTTTTAAGTCGAAATGCGTCGGTGTTGGTACAAATTAGCTTGGGGTCATTTTTGTAATTGCACCGGTTTAAGAATGCCCGGTCTTGGTTTGGTCGGCGGAGACACACGAACCGAACCAGGTTCAAGAAATGGCTATAAAAGGCGGTTCTACTGGTCGGGCGAGGGGTTGGTTAGTACAAGGACAAGGAGGACGAGAGGCGGAGAAATGAACGCTCCGGATCGTTACGAGCGCTTTGTTGTGCCTGAGGGCACCAAGAAGTGAGCATCCAACCCCATCTGTTTTTCCTTTCCTTTTACCCGAATCCTTTCGCGTCGGCGATCTTCGTTTTCTTGTTGAAAGAATATTTTCGACGGCAGATTAAACCCTCGACGAACTTGTTTTGTTCAAGAATTTCCCTCAAGTTTTTTGGGTTTCTTGATAACGTGATCTTTCTCTTATGCGGATGAAAAATTAGGGTTTCATATGAGAGGGACACCAAGATCGTCAATGCGGCCTCCTTCACCGTCGAGCGCGAAGACCACACGATCGGAAACATCCTCCGAATGTGCACACCATCTACCTCTGTCGCGTTCCTTTCTTTCTCTAAAACATATGTAATATATAGCGGATTTAGTTTTGTTTTTGTTGTGGCCGCAGGCAGCTGCACAGAGACCCCAGTGTGCTCTTTGCGGGCTACAAGCTTCCACACCCCTTGCAGTACAAGATCATAGTTAGGGTATGCTTCATCTTTTATCAACCAATAGAACAGATTGGAGCATTGCGTTTGACATGTCTGTGTGCACCTCACCAGATCCAAACGACAAGCCAGTCTTCACCGACTCAGGCATATAACCAGGCGATCGATGACCTCGACAAGGAGCTTGACTATCTGAAGAAGGGTTTCGAGGTTTGCTGCTCACTACTCGTTGTTTAACATCTAAAAGCATGCTGGTGTTCAGTGGTTTAATTTTCTGCAGAGGAACCCAAGGATACGTGACATTTTGAGAAATTCTATTTCAAGGCTTATAATCTGTAACCCTTTCTTTGTATTTGTTTTTTTTTTTGGGTTCATTTTTGTAATGTCATATCCAATGCATATAGTTTAATGTGCTTTTCACAATATATTTCTAGCACAATCTATAGGAAAAGATCCAGTTTTGCAGCTGGACCCTGTTGAAGATTAAGTCAAGTCAGTCATGTTTCATTGATTACCATTAAATCATTGTCCATGATTCAATTCTTTTTGTTATTTGCACTGAATATTCTTATTAAATCATATTTATTAGTGTCGAGGTTTTTAGGTTCCTAACACACATTATTGTTAATTACATGCTAGCATAATACTTGTTGGTCGGCATCAGGGGCATGTCAATTGCCATGGGTACTATGCCAGCATAACACTTGTTGGATGCCCCATCTTGAATTTCTAGTGACGTTCTGACACTGTATATGCTGCATGGCATCGGTTGACATGGATGGCATGTGTAACTCTTCATTAGCATTAATGGTTAGATGCCATGTGTATGGTTTGGATGAGAGTCCAACTAACAAGGAATTCCTTGTATGAGAGTTCCAAACCACAGCTGTGTAATTAGTCTGGTTTGAAAAAAAATTCATGAACTTTTTTCTTATTTTGTGGTAGTTCCTCTAGTTTGTGCTCATTTGAGTTCCTCTCCATACATCCACTTTTTGCTTTTTTTTCCTAGTTACTTTTACAGAGAACAGTATGTTATTCTGCTGAATTATGTCTTATAGGTTTGAAAAACCCTTTCATTATTCTTCTTTTGATTACACTACCTACTGCTACAGCCAATCTACTGTCGTTTTAGTCAGACATCTGTCTGAACAGCCTCTTGGTTGGTCAGATCTGATCTTCCAAATGGGGCACCATTTGGTGATGCATTATTTGGTATAAGTGATCCCTATCTAGTACTCTTCATGTTTGGTTCAAGATACCTTGTCATCTGCTGTTATAAGAAACAATACAACAGATAATGTGTCGTGAAAGCTTGATTTGGTGGTGGGAAAGAACATCCATAAGTCATTGTGCCCAAAGCAGATGGACAGGTGGGTTGGCAGAATAAAAAGCAAGCAATTATATGAGCCAATGTTATGTTATTTTCTTTTCAGCCAGAGTAACTTTGCTGAATGCATTTTTTTGGCTCTGAACTGGACATTTGGATGAAAATAATTTTGAAGGTAACAAGGCAAGTTTTTATGTCACGAAAAACAAAAGATTCAAGGAATCCAGTATCGAAGTCCTTTACATTGAGGAAATTTCCAGTAAAGGGTCATTCGTTATAGAAATTCTTGTATCCTACTGCATGTCAAACTTGTATCACTGAAATTTAAAGCTCAATTAGAGTTATTAATTGAAATATTGGTGACAAAAACTTTTGGGTTCACTCTTACAAATATTGAAGATAGGCAGTTAAATGCTAAATAATATGGTGAATTAGTGGACACAATGGGTCCCGAAAGAAGCAATTTGATGTTGTTAAATCTTAATTTTAGGTCAAGTTAAATTTGTATTTGAGTTTGGATTATGATTAGAATCAAGTCCTATTCTAATTTTCTAATTTCACTCTTTTCCAGTGATTTCTTTTTTGCTATTTTTTTGGATTTTTGGGATGAATTATATGACCAGCCATGTAATCTTTTATAGTTGTTTTTCAGTTTTTCTCAGTATACTGTTTCTCTATTTCTTTCTTCTTTCGACTATCCTATTTACTAACTGAATGACATCTTGTTGTAACCATGATTTACCTGGCACACTGTGTTAGTCGGTTGGCATTGTATGTGCTGTTAACAATATCTATGCAGACTCTAGGAGGCTGTTTTAACATCACTGGCATGTTGGTGGTAAAGAAAAATTCTAGGTGGCTTTTAGACTAGGAACACTCTCATTTGGTTGCTAGTGATAAGGCTATCAGTCGGCTAGCTTTCTCACTGCCAGTGGATTTCTAACCACCAGCACCAAATGACTATAGATGCAGCAACACATTCTTACAGCCAATATATTCATTGTTGCTCATGCTTGAGATATTTGATTAGACAAGTGGATCTTTGGCATGGTTTGTTCAGAGTTAGGCTGCACAATGCAAGTAGGTTGGCTTGAGCTGGTTCACATTCTCAATCTGTTGTCATGATAAGCACAATACCATGTGTTTTTTGAAGTATTCTCTTTCCTGAACTGCATCTCTAGGAATTCATTATCAATGTATATAAGCTCCTTCGATTCTAAGTGATATTTAGTAGGCAGTTTTAACAATTTTTTTTCTATGAGCAATAATATTCTTTATCAAAATTACCCTGTTGAAATTGTTTCTTTGTCTTTTTCTTTAGTGTAACTGAAGTTGCCTTAATGCATTTATACATGATCTACTTTTTCCAGAGCCTTTAATTACAGATTTAGATCCTTTCTCTTATCTATGCGACACTTGCAACAATATGACTGACATACATTATGGAGCGTGATCTTGAACATATCGAATATATTTGTCCATGATAGTGCTAAACAGTGATGCAGATCTACTGTGATCAATGTATTGGCTTGCCTGTATTGTTCTTATGGTAGCTAGCAATTGGTGCAAACTGTTGGCTGAAAACCCAGGTTTTACTTAATTTCATCTGAATTTAATCCAACTTGATTGTGAATGAGAAGGAAAAATCTTACTGACAAAATTAGGTCATGGAATTAATATAATGCTGGATTAGACATCCATTTGGGTTAGACTTGGCTCAAAAAGTCTGTATAAGTGTGCCTGATGCTATTGTATTTCATGAGCTGTCATATTAAGGTCTTCTTCTAGGAAAAATGGTTCCTCAAGACCTATGATAAAACTCAGATCATGTTCCATCTGGTCGTTGGAGAATTGACCGATTTTGTTCAACAATGTCCTATGTGAAGTCTGTCACCTTTTAGTTTGCATGTCAATATTTGCTCCCATGCCATTTGGTTTTCTACTGCTTGACACTTGATTGTCATTTAGCCTCTTATGTTTCATGAAACGATATATCACCAACAATAGTGTATTCTAGGAATGCCTCGACAAATACCTTCTTAGTTTGGTAAATTGATTAGTAAATTTTCTCTAGGATGTAAATTCTGAAAGAATTTGATTCTGGTTGCTGATGTATCATTGTCCAAGAATAATGTGCTTTATTGGAATAAAGTTCAGTGATACTTAGATGCTCACTTTCAACTACTTATTTGCAGGACGAGAAGAACAGGTACGATGAAAAGCTTAGGCAGGGATACTAGGTGGATGATATGGCGGATGAGCGCGAGCTTGAGTAATGTATTGCAAGTGTTTTTTTTTCTGGTGGTGACTGAGATAAGTAAAAATTTAGATTATTAACATGCAATCTATGATGGACATGAACTTTTAACGCAATGTGGTGACTAGGGTCTAAGTTTATTACTCAGTGAGGTGGATTATAGAAAAAAGGTTAACTTGAGGACAATGTCTCTCTGCAACATTTGAATTAAATCTGTGGGGATGTTTACATTTGCACACAGCAATCGTGATGTTGGGATTTGTACGAGGAGGCTTTGATAAGTGTTGTATATAAAGGTAATAATTTTAGCTGTCAATTGATTAGAATAGATTTTTAGCTGTAGATTGAATAGGATAGAGACCTGCCCTTTGAAGGAATTGAATGGTGCCCTCTCTTATGCTCCAAAACAATACAAGGGTTGATGGAACAACCTTCTCCTACGAATTAATATGAGAGAACCATCCATGGATTAAAGTTGAAAATGATTTCTCAATTGCCACCGTAGGCAGATCCTAATAAATTTCAGTGTGGCAAGAACAGATAGTTTCTTGTTGAAGTTAAAATTCTCGTGAAGTCCCCTTTTATCTTGATAATAAATTACAAGATTGCATTGCATGTTCCTAACCTTTTGGGCCTTAATTAATATCCTACCAAATTTTACTGCATGTTGTGTACATCCTTGCTCTAGTTGTCCAATGGACCAGGATTCTCATCAGTCAATCGGCATTATACCATCATCCGTGGAGAGTGCCCCTGCCACTGCTGCCTTGTGGGGAAGGCATGGAATTTAACCCCATCCAATTCCCTACCAACAACAGTTGCAAGGGAGACCGAAGGGCTAAATCCTCAAACCCCATCCTCTCTTCTCCGCCCTTCTCGGTCTCTCTCTCCATCCCCCCCCTCGTTCCCTTCTCTTCACTCCCAAATCTCTTCTTCCTCCTCCTCTACCATGCCAACCCCCCACAGTGGGTAATAAATACTCCCCAACCCCACCAAATTCCCTCCTCCCATACCCTTCCAAGACCAAAAGAAGAAGACCGGCCTCTTCTCACGAAGAGACATGGCTTGTGCCTCTGCACCTCAATCTCTCCTCCTCTGCCTCTTTCTCCTCTTCTTTGTTGCCTCCACATCCCACCTCACATTCTCCGCAGATGTGAGTTCCTTTCTGCACTGTCGCGTGCATTCGTCGTTATGTTGTGGAGTCATGCGCTAACCGTGTACGCTTTGCTTTGCTTGCGTTCTGAGCCAGGCTGCGGGCGGGCCGACGGCGTCGATGAAGCCGGCGTCGGCGGTGGCGCCGGGGCTCAAATCGGTGCTGATCGACGAGGCCAAGCGGCGCCGACTCAGCAGCTTCCAGATATGCGCTCTCTGCACCTGCTGCGGAGGCCCGCGGGGCATCTGCCTTCCTTCTCCATGCTGCTACGCTATCAACTGCAACATCCCCAACAGGCCCTTTGGTTTCTGCTCCTTCACCCCCAAGACATGCAACTGCTTTGGGTGCCACCTCTGAGACACTCTTCTCCCCCTCCTAGGTTATGATCTCTACTTGCTTGATCATATCACTGTGTGTGTTGGGAGTGCCAATTGGAAAGGAAGAATGTTCCTTTTGCTTGCCTTGGTATTGGTTTACATGTGTTGGATCTGCATAGGGGATGATTAAAAGTGTTTATACTGAGTGGTACTTCTAATTTCTAGTTCTTGTTTGCTAAATTGTACTAGTTTAGTCTCTGAGACTGAGGAATGCAACAAGTGCGTTCTCATGGTCTCTGAGACTGCTAGAATTGAGTGGTGAGGTTGCTGTTGGTGGGTGTCTCAAGATGAGCAGCTCTGAGTTAATGATGCTGGCTGGTCACTGCTTGTCATCCAAAAATCTTAGAGGTGGGTGGGAGTTGGTCAGTGCATTTAAGCCTATAATTATGTAGTAGGGTTGGTAATGTGGTCCTTTTATTTAGGGTTTTTTTTTCTTTCACTTATCTATGTTTTTAACTTATATATCCTTGAAAAGTTTGGAAATAATATACTTACCCCTATTAATTTTAGTAGGACATCAAATCCTAAAAAAAAAAGGGGTCATTTTAAACACAGCTGATCAGGGTTATTTGCTAGTTTGATTAAAATAAAACCATCATAATAGAGTTTCGAAGGTTATTAATGTCAATTAGAATTTGAACATCTACGCTCTATGCTAAGCTTAAATTTGGAGAAATAATTACATGTTTTACTGACTTTTGAGGTATGTATGTGCAAATTTGCCCTTTATGTATCATTGAGGGCCACCTGCAGGGTGATTTAAGTTGTTTGACTATATAATGCTTGTCACGAATCTGAGTGCAGAGTATGATGAGGTTAAGAAGAATGTTAAGGGTGTGTCTTGTGCTTGAGCTTCTTTATAATTTTTTCTTGGAGAATAAGTTTCTTTATGCTGTCTGAAGTCTTGTATTTTATAGGTGAATAGTTTGGAACAGAATAAACACACCTCATGGTTATGTTGAGCTGGGATCATTGAAGAGAGTGCACTGTTTTCATGTCTCCACCAGTGGAGGCTTCACAAGGTGTTTGGTCTTCCATCTTTCCATCCTGGAGGAGACAAAGGGTTGTGGTCATCAATTTGTTTCCTCCCCCGCCCCCCCCCCTCTCTCTCCCCAAGACCACTGTTGTAACTTAGGTGTTTTCTAGATCAAACAGGTGAATGTGTACTGCCCTCTGCATGTGGGATCTCATGAGGAGGGTAGGGTTGATGACCCCACAATCTTTATTTGCAATCTGCAACTGTTCATGTCATGGAAGGCTTTTTTGAGGAGGGGGAATCTGGTTGACCAATTCATGGAGGGTATTCCCTCCCTCCATGTGCCTGGCATGTTTCTTCTTTACAGCCATGTCTGCTAGTACTGTTTGAGGCAACTGATAACCCACACTATGATCTAAGCTTGTGACCAATATTATTCATGTCTCAACCCCTCTTTCCATCAGCAGTGACTTCCATATCTGCAGTACCCATGCATGGTTTAATCTGACATAGTCTCGACTCTGAAACATCACAAGGATTATCCCAAAATCAGAGGATGACTTAAAACCAGCTACATTTGTTGATTTGCTGACTCTATTCCCTTTCCAAAATCAATATCTGTTGTATTCAGATTTCTAAGAAACCAAATTATTTTTTTTCCTCTGGAATTTCCAAAGCAAAATGCTTCTGATGCTGCCTTTTTGCTTCTCTGATGGTGGAGGTTGCAAGTCATTGTCCACTGTCTTGGGTTCTTAATGGGTTTGAAAAGAGTCCATTTCTTTTTCTATTATGTGGCTCATTTTGATCCATGCCTGCGACTGGCACTCACTACCTCTATCTCTTCTATTATTCTCTGGACTACTGTTTTCTACAAGTATAAATTAGCATGTTAATTGCATTCTGGACTTGATCAAAATTGATTAATCAAGGTTTCAATAATTATAAACATATCCAAGTGATACTTAAAGCTGGCAGGTGCAGCTACCAATATCATCATATATAGTGTGAAAAAATATCTCTACCAGAGATTTATTTATTTACAACATATTAAGAACTTGTTAAGGTAATAAATGTCTCTTGATGTCAAGTTCTACCACACATAAAGAGACAGAACAGGAAGGTTAGCTGTCTGATTTACGAATTTATTTCTACTACCAATAGATTCATAAGATTTTAGGTGAAGAGAAATTATGATTTCTTAGTAACACATCGAAAATTTTGTCAATTGAGGATGTTGGATGCATTCTTGGAAGTAAAACTAGTTATACACATTTTAAATATGAATCGATATTTAATAATTTTTCATATCATTTTTGGTCTGAATGTTGCATTGGAAATACTCGATCTATTTTAAGATAATATTTATATTTCGGCATTTGCAGGATGTTAATATAATTTTTTTTAATTTTAAAAGTATCATATGATTTTATCTAAGATTACAAGATTGTTAATATGAGTTAGTGAGAAATCAATATGATTTATATTTTCTATAAAGATAAAATTTTATTTTATTTATTTTTAAAATATATATATATTTTTTATAAGATTACATTCATATATTCATTTTTTTATTAATTTAAATAAAAATATGTATTTATTTTTGAATTAATATTTAAAATAATTAAAGGGTAAATTTGTTATAAAATATTCAAGACCTTTGAAATATAATTTTACACAACAACACTTACGTCAGTGCATAATTAAAATATACTTTTTTATCCATTATTTATAAAACACTCAAAAGTATTTTATAACTACATATTCATTCAAGATCTATACGTTAAAAATATAAATACGTTTTTAAACAAAGCCATTGATTCTTCCCAAATCCTATATATATACAATGATTATGACTACACTATAGGGTTGTACATTGCATGGATAGTTTCACCTTCACAAAATATAAAAAAAATTAAATAATTAACTAATGCATAATGATGAATCAACATTTATAAGAATAATATTGTATATATTAATCCTCTGTATATCTTATATTATATTGATTCATAATCTTATAAGAAAAAAAAATAAAGATTCCAAATCTCATCCTATAAATTATTTACTTAATTATATAGGTTGTGTTGAAATCTCATTGTACAATTTCTCTTATTTACAGTTTGAAGATTCAGAATTACTCAGCCGATTACCATTTATTATTTGTAAGAGAGAAATATTTTAGACGAATGTCATGAAGTGAGAGGTTGGAAGTGCGTCCATTATTGTTCGCCACCACCGTCCAAAAACCTCCCCACTGAGGCGTTCCGTTTCAAAGATGCCATCAACCAAAACTCTCGTTTTTATAAGGCCTCTCGCTCGTCTCCTTCCCTCACTCGTCCCACTCCGCTCCGCTCCTCAGCATCTCTCCCTTCTCATCTTTGCTTCTTGGAAATGGCGTCTCGACTCCTCCTCTCCACCTCAACGCCTCTCCTCCTCCCCTCTCCCCGCCGCAGCGTCGCAACCCCCTCGCTTCGCTACCCGCCGTCCCTCGCCTTCCCAAAACCCTTTCGAAGCCCCAACCTTTGGCGCCCCAGTTCGTCGAATTGCCTTCGGTTCTTTGGTAGAACTCACGACAGAGGGACGTCGATCGGAGGTGCAGAACCCGAGAGTCCGATCCCTCAGGAAGCTCCCTTCGGCGAGGACTCGGCGGCGTTCGATCCTGGGCAGCAAAAGCTCTCATCTTGGGCCTATTTCACGGCCATACTCGGTGCCGTTCTCGTCGCGCTCGATGTACTGTGGATTAGTCCGTCCACGGGGTTCGGCACGGTGTATATCGATGCGGTTTCTCGACTTTCTGAGCGCCCGGAGGTGAGTTTGGACACGAAGGATCGGTGGTTTTCTTCGGTTATGCTTCTTCTAGTTCGATTTCTATGCCGGAGTGAAGCTTATTTGCTGGTTGAATTGCATGTTTAGTCGAGCAGTTAGCACCTTTTCTTTTGGATTCATTCTCTGTTTCTCTTTTGCCCTTATTTGCATGTGTCGTGGAAAATGAATGATACATACCAATATAATTATGTAGGATATCTAACATTAGATGTCTTGGAACACGTAAGATGGTGCTCCATGGAAGATCAGGCTTGGCACTTGGCACCTGGCACCGAAGTCTCAACTAGATAGCTGAAGTTTATTTATCAAAATATTCACAGCATTTTTCCTTGTCGAGTTTAACCAGGATGACCAAGTGCTTATCGATAAAGGTTAAAGCATACATTCATGAAAGCAAAAGATGCATAAACTACATCGTCCATGTTTCTAGGCAGCGTTGCTTGAGGGCTTGATGCAAAATTAAGCTTCAAAAGCAGGTCGTTTTGGCATATGTGAAGCTAATAGACATCCAGTTATTAAACAGGACCGATTGTCACTATGAGTTTGCTTGGATACTAAGATCTTTTCTATTTGAGTCAACCTGGTATGATAAATTTCTTGTGTTTGAAATGAATTGAACTACTGAAATCTCTCAATTAGGTGAAAGATGGAAGTCACTTATCTTTTTGAATGTCATTTGTACTTTTGGGACTCGATAGAAAGATAACAAGTTGTCAATGAAAGATTCTTATTCCGCAAATTGTGAATCCTTCATCAATTACCTGATTATTTATGACTCGTCACACTTTCTAACAAAGGCTATAGTGTTATCATCCTTAGTGGTAAGAGAGTTTTTATCACCTTTTCTTTGTCTAGGTCAGCTTAATGTAGAAGTTTCTTATGCTGATCCAAATTTTCTTCACTTAAACAGGTTGTACTATTGATGCTTATCTTCATTTTCGCCATTGTCCATAGTGGTTTGGCAAGTCTGCGTGATGATGGTGAAAAGCTCATAGGAGAGAGGGTTTACCGAGTTCTGTTTGCTGGGGTTTCACTTCCTTTGGCAGTCAGTGCTGTTGTGAGTCCTTTAACATTCTCATTTGGTTTTGGCAGTCATAAGAATTCCATTGCTCATAAGTGCTGCATGTCACATTCCATACTCTGGATCTGTTCATGATTTTATATTCTTCTGGTCTTTTTTTAATGACCTTAGTGCTATTTTCTTTTAGGTTTATTTCATTAATCATCGATATGATGGCACTCAATTGTGGCAACTTCAGAATGTCTTTGGACTCCATGAGCTCGTGTGGTTCTCATCCTTCGTATCCTTCTTTTTTCTCTACCCCTCCACCTTTAATCTTTTAGAAGTTGCAGCTGTTGATAAGCCAAAAATGCACCTCTGGGAAACAGGAATTATGAGAATCACCAGACACCCACAGGTATAATTTCCTCCATCTATTCCTGTATAAAATCTCAAGTGCAGGAGGCTTATCAGACATCACTGCTGACATTAGGATGTTAAACTTGTGCGCTTCTCCTACTTTATGATGTTAATCTTGGTCCTGTTCTATTCTTCAAGATGGTTGGACAGGTAATATGGTGCTTGGCCCATACACTGTGGATTGGAAACACTGTAGCAGTGGCGACCTCTGTTGGCCTGATAGCTCATCACATATATGGTGTTTGGAATGGTGATAGGCGGCTGGCAGTACGATATGGTGAAGCTTTCGAAGTTTTAAAGAGCAGAACAAGTGTAATTCCTTTTGCAGCAATCTTGGATGGGCGTCAAAAGTTGCCCAAGGATTATTACAAGGAATTTATCCGGCTACCTTACTTAACGATCACAATTTTGACTCTGGGTACATATTTGGCACATCCACTTATGCAGGCATTCAGTTTTCGACTTCATTGGTGATGCCAGCTTGCAGTATTTTGTATAGTATTTATTTAAGATCAGCACAGATGTGATGCTGAAGCCAAATCCATTTTTCATGTGATAAAACTGTAGGGACAAATTTCCAGGCATTTTCATCATATAGTTGAAGGATTCTATTGTAAAGAATGTTGAAAGCCTTCTCTTTACAGTTTCATGCCACCTTAAAATGTTAAGTGAAAAGAAAACACAGTGAAAGATACAGACCAAGTTGATAATTGTTGATCATTGGAAGCCTGTGTTGTGATCCAGAAGGAGCTGCTGATGGAGTTGGTGCATCTTCTTGTGGTGCCTCCAAAGGAGATTCTGCCTGTTCCAAGCCATCATCATCTTTGTAGGAGGATTTATAGTTTCTGAGCCACACATCAGAAGCTGCATCCGGTATCGGGTAAGTTTTGACAGAACTGAACTAGAGACTAGAAAGGAAGTTCTATAGCACTCAGTCTAACCCAAACACTCACCTTGTCTGGATATTGTGTGATGCAGGTCATCGAAACTGATAGGCCAGAGGAAGTAGCCCAGCAACCTGTTGTGCCGAGCAAATTTTATCTTGCACTCTACAACTTCTGGACTGTCGAAGCTCACCCACAGACCTCCAGAGTGGAAATAGGAAATCACAGTCTGGTTGTCATATATGAATTCAGAACTAGGATCTTTCAGGAGTTCTTCAATCTCTGAGTAGGCCATCATGCCAGTCTGGTTGCTCATCTTTTGCCGAGGTCCTGTGGCCACTACCGGAGCACCTGGTTCATTTTTCACTTTGTTCTTGAGAAACCAAGATCTTCCATATGCAGGAATTCCCATTACCAGTTTGCACGGAGGGATTCCTGCATCCAGCCATGAGGTGATGCCATAACTTGTAGAGAAGTGGGAGGCCTTGTCAAAGAGTGCAGCATTGTTGGTAGTGGCATTGCTGTTCTTGTGGTAACCAAAGCAGAGAGCATTAACCCAATCAACGTTTTCCGAGATTACATCTACCGGATAGTCAAGGTCGTCAGTTGATTGTTCAAACAAGTGGTTTGAGAAGTACACTGTGACTGTCAGAAGAACCGATGATGAATTCTGAGCCTCCTTGCTGATACGAGCTCGCCATTCTGCAAGCAGGATTCCGAGGTTGGTCATATCTGATGGTAAGCTCGGGAACTGCCATGCCAGGTCTAACCCATCAAACTCGTTCTCCCTGGCTAATGCTAAGGCAGAACTGATGAACGATGCTCGAAGATCTGGATCAGCTGCCATGGCAGAAAAAGCTGCATTCGAAGCACTATTCTTGCGATCATCAGTGGCAATGGATAGGAGGGTCTTGAGAGATGGATTGCTCAATTTGATGGTGCTCGAGAAAGTGTTAAGGATCGGGAGTTGGTCAGGCCGCGGGACTGCAACTGCGGAGGCATCATCAAGGGAGAGAGAGTAGTAGTAGAGGTGAGTGTAGAGGGATGCATTAATGCTTGAAACAGGGGAGTAATGGTCGTCTTGGGAGAACCAGTAGCCAGCTCTAACCTGATGAGGGCCAGTATCACAATGTTGCAGGCATTCTAAACGAAGGAAAGTGGAGATCATTAGCAAGTAGAAGAGGAGGCAGGAGAGTGAACTCTGGTACATCTTGCCAAGTTTTGGATTGATGGAGGAGGCGTTGGAAGCAGAAGGTTGAGGATGGTCATTGTCTGTGAGTGTAGTTGGATACAGCTAGAGTTGAGATCTGCAAGTGGAACTTTAGAAAAGATAACACTTTGATGAGCTTAGATTCACTGAGAAGGGGAAAGCTTCCACTAAACGCAGTGTGTAGGCCTCAAAACCTGTGAGTTACCACTGGGTGGGTGGCTGCGTGCTCAGAGCAGCTCGGGAGCGCATGCATTAAAGTGGAAAGCTGACCGTCTTTTGTGAAGAGGACTGTTAGTAAAGCATCTTTGGAGTGCAAGCCATGACAATTCCTTCTCTTTCTTTCTTGTCACGGTTCTTTCCCTTGGTTCTCAAGCTGGTGATCTGATTCAAAGTTTCCACACTCAGAAGGGAAGAAAAGAAGGATAAGAAATAAGAGCATCCAGAAGAAGAAGAAGAAGTGGAGAGCCGAAGTCAAGTTGAAGTGCAAGAGGTATCCGTTGAAAAGTCACCATGCTTAATAGATATGATTTTTGAGTCCATATTAAACTACTAGATTGAATCGAATAGAGAAGACACGATGTGACAATGTTGGGTTTTACAAGTATTTTAGGAGATGGAGCAGAAAAGGAATCTTATGATTTAGAATTTATTTATACAATTACAATCTCTAGGTTTTGATGATAACTATATTGTGGAATAAAATGCACTTATTTATTTGTAAAATAACTGATTTTAGATAAATAAAGTGAAACAAAAAAATAAAATTAAGCTAAAGGGTTGAGATATTATTGTGTGAGTGATAGGCCTCAAATTAGAGTACATTATGAACATCATTTGATATAATATATATATATATATTAAATTTTTAAAAATAAAATTTTAATTACGAATTAAAAGTATTTTCATAAAAAAACGAATTAAAGAGGTGGATAGGAAAGAAGACGGTGTGTAGGCTGCACACGGGATTCAATGGATTGGGCCTTTGCGTTGTGGACACAGGTCGGGAAGCCCAATTAAATGGTGGCCTAAAAAGAGAGCTCCTTGAGACACGTCTTTTCTCTCTCTCTCTCTCTGCTCTTTTCTTTCTCTCGTGAATTGAGGAGCGCTCTTTGCTCTCTCTCGCGCGCGCTCTCTCTCTCTCGCGGTTGCGAACGGAAGGCTGACCAAAAGCCATGGCCAAAGGCCGGAGCGCCCGCGGCGCGGAGGATGGAGGAGGAGGAGGAGGAGGATCCGCTATCCCGGGGGTCGACGCGGAGGTGGGCTTCGCGAAGCTCCAAGGCGAGGACTTCGAGTACTACATGCAGACCTACTCCATCATCCTGGGCCGCAACAGCAAGACGTCGGCGGTGGACGTGGACCTCGCCACTCTGGGCGGCGGGATGAACATCTCCCGCCACCACGCCCGCATCTTCTACGACTTCCCTCGGAGACGCTTCGCCCTCGAGGTCCTCGGTAAGAACGGCTGCCTCGTCGAGGGCGTCCTCCACGTCCCCGGCACGCCGCCCATCAAGCTCGATTCCCAGGACCTCCTCCAGATCGGGGACAAGCAGTTCTACTTCCTCCTGCCCTCCCGATCCTTCTTCGGCGGCGGCGCCCCTGTTCCCCGGCAGCCGTCTGGGGTCTCTCTCGCAGCGTACCCCGGGCGTGTTGGCCCTTTTAATCGTGGCATCCTCGTTCATGATGAGGAGGAGGAGGACGACGATGATGATGATGATGGGGAGGAGGAGGAGGATGAGGATGAGGTTAGAGGAGCCGTAGTAGCTCGTAACGGTGGCAAGAGGATAAGGAGGGATTTGGGAAATGAATGGGAGGAAAAGCTTGGTAGGGCAGGGAAGGCCGGACCATCACAGCGTCCAGGTTGGTATCAGAATTCCTCTTCCTTTTCTTTGACCAACAAAATCTCCTCTTTTGCATCGATCGTCTAGTTTATGTTGTTCACTTCTCTTACATTTGTAGCGATCAGTTGAATAAGAATTTGGTTCGAATTTAATCCCAAGGAAAAAAATTGTGAAAAAAATTGATTTTTCATTGTAATTCTCTACGTGGGAGGTGTTAGGGTTATTGCTTTAGCTAGAAATTTAACATTTGCTACATGTCTTGCAATTTTGCATTGTCAATTCAGGATTTGTTAGGTATATGTATTTAAATATTAATCTTTACAGATCTTTTCTTTTTATGAAGAAGATAAATAGTGTTGCAGATGTTGTGACACAATTCATACATACAGGCATAAGTAAGAAAAGAAATAGTTGGCCAGGTGCCCAAGGCTCCCACTAATGTGAGGTTTTCGGATAATTGATGTGTGCAGCTTTATCCTTAAAATTTGAGAGACACAATTCTTATGCCAAATGTGAAATCGATACACAGCACAAAGAGTTCAGAATATCTTGTTAGTGCAAGGAAGAAAATGATAAAAGGAAGAGGTTCATTCTTGCACCAAATTTTTACATCAACCTGACAGGCCATCTCTTTCGGATGTTGTTTGGTTCGCTATAAAAATGCCACATCCTTTACTTTTACCAATAGCACTCAGTTCTTTCTACCTGATATGCAATTGACAGATTTGAATCATATGACTCGTTCTCACTTCCCTTTAATACGCTCTGTTTCAATAGTTGAACCATTTCCAACTTGTGATGAAACGCAGGATTAGTTAGATCAGAATCCTGAGGTAAGTTCTTTTTTGAGTGTGTGAAACATTTGTTTTTTTAATTTTGATCGACTTCAATTGTATATAAAACAATATATTACTTCCACATATTATTTGATGGAATAGTGGATTACTTATCGAACATTCAACCGACCTGTCCTCTTACAAGAGTGGAACTGAATGATATTGTACTTTGATGTAGATCTTGCAGTAGTTGCTTGTGCTAAACATTCTCCTTTGTTGTGATGGCTGCTGAAGTGTACTTTGACATAGTGGTCAATAGTCGATACTGACATTTGTAGGATTCATTTTGCTGCACTTGGGAGTTGGTTACCAACCTAAGACTGAACATGCCTCGTATGATCATTTTGACTAGTGTACCAAACTTTGCAATACCACTATTGGTGATTACTAAATTCTGTTTTAGGATGCCAAAGTTGACACTGCCTTTTACATATTTAAGGGATTTGTCTGACTGCTTCTATACAAGATTTCTTTGGATGGCATAATTTTACTCTTTACTTCACTGCATAGGATATATGAGTCTTCATCAAGTGAATCAAAGTCCCAATCAAGTTGCAGAAATCACAGGACATTGTTGTCCTCTTTTAACTCATATACTAGGATTAGTCTGCACGTGTAGTGAGAGTCTGAAAATTAAAACATACAAAATTGTATACATGTACGCCTGTTTTCCTAAATAATGTTCGATCTCAGGACAAGGATTTAATGTTCCTTGGCACATTCCATGTCGGTAATCATGGCAGGATTTGCTCATGCTAGCAATATACAAAATGATGAGTTGGCAACCCTCAGCATGGCAGAAACTCCCTTGATTATACTTGTCACATGGTACAGTGTATCTGTAAATCATCAAAAACCGTGTGTCGAGTTATATACTTTGACTGTTATCTATACTGATGTTATGTGTAGATTACCAGAAAATAAAAGCTCCATTATATTCCACTCTTCAGGGACAAAGGCTGAGAGAAGGTCAAGGGTTGACAGGGAAGCAGATAATCAACAACTCTTGGCATTGGAAGAAAAGGATGTCATCTCATCTGTAGCTACATTGCTCGCTGATCTTTGTGCGCCAGGAGAATGGATGCCTATGGAGAAACTTCATGCGGAGGTTGGTTACTAAAATTTTCTGTCTAATGTTTTGCTCTTTTCATGTTACTCATTATGAGTTATCAGGACAGTATGAGAATATAATTTGTATGAGAGTATAATTTGTTAGAAGTACAGACAAGGATAGGCTCATATCTTATAGTTTTATTTGCCTAAATTAATGCATTAGACCATGTTGCTCGAAAACATTAAATGGACGTCGGCAATGAGCAAGCTTATTTCAAATAAAAAAATAAAGCATTAAAATGGATATATTTTGTTTCAGCAACATGCGAATTCCTTTCTGTTGTTGAATAATTGACTGCCGCATTAGCTGATGAAGTAAGGGTTACATTTTTCCCCTTATCTTGTATTCTTGAACGACACCTTTGGTGGCCATATATACTTTTGTTAAGGTTATTTTCTGCTGTTCTTTCACATTTTTTGAAAATGTCTTTAGATCATTGATTCTTTTTGTTTTGGGGCATTGCATTATGGATGTGCATCCTTTTGTGACCATATTCATTTCTACAGTTAATATCAAGAATTCAGTTTTGGTAGCATGGTCTTGCTGGTAAAGTGGTTCAGTGCGGCACAGCGTAAAAAGCAGAATGGGCATGAGGCCCATGCCTAGCAACTGTATGTCAGCATTTGACATATTGTTAATATGTGTGAGGCGATTGCTCCGTGCCATGCTGACATGGAATACTCCACGTGGTTTGGATTGATAGAGCTGGCATACGAAAGATGCTTTAATTCCAGAAGAGCCATCAACTTGCTTAATTTTGGTGTAGGTGTCACTTAAGTGATCCTCATAGTGTTGTGGTACATACAATTAGGAACTCATCCCATATCCAGTGCAAGGGCTAATACAAGTCACCTGGGAAAGAAGAAAAGTTAGAGCTATGGAACAGAAGTATGAGAAACATAAGGTTGGGGTCAATGGCTTTAAAAAAGAGTTGTGAGGATTTCCACTAAAATCATCTTTCTAATAAATTAAGATTTAATCGTCATCTCCATCAACTTAGTAGTTGTTATTGTTCTATTATGACTTTGATTTAGACGAAATGAGATTTTGCACCCCTCCATCTATACATTTGTGATTGAATAGCATTAGTACTTGGCTTGTATATGGATATGTGATAAATGGTGACCCATTTCATACAACATAGTAATATTGTCCCTCTGCGAAGGGTGTGAGTCTCCTTAAATATTTAAAGATAGCATTGATGGAGCCTCGTGCATTGGGTACCACCCTTATTTCATACAACACAGGTTGCAGATTAAGGTTATGAGAATTAAGTTGTATTTTATGATAAGAACAAATTGAAAGAGCACATCCATCCTCGATGCATTGACAATTGACCACTGTTAAAATACGTTAGATCGAAGAGCATAAATTTCCCCTTATGTTTACCTTTATTTTTCTCTCTTCTGTTTGCTTTCGGTGCCGATATTTTCCTGCATTCTCGAGTTCATAAAAAAAATGCAAGGAGTGTTAGTTGACTTTCTTTTTTTCCCTGCTATCATGCATCTTGTTTCTCTGAAAGATCAAGTAACATTGCACGTGGTATCAGTAACTTGTTGTTGATGAAATGCTTGTCCTTTACCATCTTCAAACCTCTTACTAAGATCTGAAACCTGTGGGCGATTTCTAATAATCATTTTTTTGCCTTTGATCCAGCTAGTTGAAGAGTATGCCAATGTATGGCATCACAGCAGGGTAAGAAAATACCTCACAGCCGAAGACTGGCCACAAACTGAAGCAAAAGGCAGACCATGGTTTGGCCTCCTGAAGCTGCTCCGGAAGTACCCAGACCACTTTGTTATTAATATCCAGTTGAAGGGAAAGATTACATCCGAGTTTGTCTCATTAGTTCCATTGCCTTCCTGATTTGTTTGGTTTGGTTTCATCTATATTGATTCTCACAAGTGCAACTCAAAACCAAACCATGTGACTATCATGTCTCATCTCTTTGTTTCTCAAGTTGATCTCAAGCTTAATAGACAACATCAGTTATACTTGTTCCTCGGAGTCTCTTGTCGATGGCTGTCATAACATTTTGATCTGATTAAAAATGACCGGTTTGAATTGAAACTCAAATTGTCGATTCAGGAATTATGATCGTATGTTTAAAATATATAAAAATAATTCAAAATTATATGTAATAAAAATTTAATATGTCACAAAATAATAGACAACTAAAATAATATTAGACAAATGGAAATGAAATTTAAGTCATTATAATATAATAAAAATAATAACATCAATCAGTATGATTTAGTAACATGAAATAATATTAAAAAAGAAAAAAAAAGTGAATACGCATTGATGCCATCCGCTCGGTTCAATTGGCTTAATTCCATGTGAGCCCCCAGTACCTGACTTGACTCGAGCCGTAATATATCTTCTGCGAACCGAGAGGCACTGTCCCGGCCGCCACCAACTCGGCCGGTCCGGTCCGGTTCGACCCGACCACCGACAGGTGTTAGGCCGCGAAGCACAACCCACCGTCATCGCACCGAGCTGCCGTTGCACTCCTCCGCGGGACACATGAATTCCTCTCTTCCGCTGTCAGCCAAAGTGGCCGCTCCCCCGCCTGTTCCTTTCCTGGTTCTACTATAGCCGGGTCATGTTAACCTAAACCACTCTGGGGGAACAGTATATTTGTCAGTTCCTTTGGCACTAACACCGCGCACTACTCCACAGAGTTTGTAGTGATCAATGAAGCGTAACAATAAATAGGGTTCGTTCCTCGGTCTCCTCCGTCGCATACTTATCTTCGTCTTCTTATAGATTCTATCTCGAAATCCTAACCAAGATGGCGATCCGCCTTCGAAATCCTGGCCGCAATGCCATGATCCGCCGCTTCTTCCTCCTCTGCCTCGCCGTTTCCGTCGCCGCCCTCTTTATCCTCGTCCCCTCCACTACCTCCGCGCCGGTGATGACCAGGAAGGAGGAGGTTGGTTCGTCCTCGTCCTTGCCCTCCGATTTGTACTCTTCGGGCCTCCATTACGCGCGGCGGTCGGTCCTCGCCGTCCGATCCGACCCCCTCCGGGCGCGCGCGGACCTGATTCGGAAGCAGGTCGGCGACCACGCCGCCGTCGCCGCCGCCTACGCCTCGTTCGCGCGTCGGCTCAAGCTCGAGAGCTCGAAGCAGACGCGCCTCTTCGCTGAGCTCGCCCGCAACCTCTCCCTCCTCGTCGGCGCTCACCGCACGCTACTCCACCGTGCCGGCCCCATCGACGAGACCGCCGTCCGTGGCTTCGAGCGCGGCGTCAAGGACCGCATCCGCGCTGCTCGGCTCCTCATTTCCGACGCCAAGGACTCCTTCGACAACCAGCTCAAGATCCAGAAGCTCAAGGATACAATCTTCGCCGTCAACGAGCAGCTCTCCAAGGCCAAGAAGGCAGGCGCCTTCTCGTCCCTTATCGCCGCCAAGTCCATCCCTAGGAGCCTCCATTGCCTCGCCATGCGCCTCATGGAGGAGAGGATCGCCCAATCGGATCGCTACGTTGATCCACCGACTCCTCCACCAGAGCTCGAAGACCCTAAGCTATACCATTATGCCATTTTCTCAGACAATGTCCTTGCAGCGTCCGTCGTGGTGAACTCTGCCGTCCGCAACGCCCGTGAGCCCTGGAAGCATGTCTTCCACGTTGTTACAGATCGAATGAACCTTGGGGCAATGCAGGTTATGTTTCGCATGAAAGATTACTCCGGTGCCCACATTGAGGTCAAGGCCGTGGAGGACTATAAATTCCTCAACTCTTCTTATGTGCCAGTGCTACGGCAGCTTGAGTCTGCAAACCTTCAGAGGTTCTACTTCGAGAACAAGCTGGAGAATGCCACCAAGGACACCACTAACATGAAGTTTAGGAACCCCAAGTACCTGTCCATGCTAAACCATTTAAGATTTTACTTACCTGAGATGCACCCGAAGCTCCACAGAATTCTCTTCTTGGATGATGATGTTGTGGTGCAAAGGGATCTCACAGGACTGTGGAAGATTGATATGGATGGGAAAGTGAATGGAGCAGTTGAGACATGCTTCGGGTCATTTCACCGTTATGCACAGTATATGAACTTTTCACACCCACTGATCAAGGAGAAGTTCAACCCTAAGGCATGTGGGTGGGCTTATGGGATGAATTTCTTTGATCTTGATGCATGGAGGAAAGAGAAGTGCACTGAACAGTACCATTACTGGCAGAATCTGGTAAGTTACTATCTTTTTTAATTGTCTCCTTTACAAAAAACAAAATTCTTTTGGGAATTGAAAGTAAAATCTAGCATGTATTTCTTGTCCAAACAATGGAGTACAAAGTAAGTAGAAGATAAATTGCATATAAACTTTTTCCAGTCAGCTAGAAAGAAACTCATCTTTACAGGGTTGAATCTGTATTTTAGATCAGCGTGAGAGGAAATATGCTTGATTAATTATTCACTAGTTTTTTCATCAAATCTCGTTGGCAGATTAACATTTGTAAACCTGATGTTTTTTAGGGGAACTTTGTTCTTGATAAGTTGCATGCCACAAAAACCAAAGCTAAACATACACTGTATACTACAACAGTTACAACAATTTTTCGACCATGGCTTATCTTTACTAAATTCAGTCTATAATTTTTTTATTAGCACCACAATAACAAGCAAATTTTGGTGGGGAATAAAGAAGCAATTTCTTAGATAGTCTATTGCGTATAGAAGTTGTAATATCCTGAAACATGTTCTGCTTACTGAATGAAAAATTATATTTTGGATAAGCATTTTTTTTTAATATATAGTTTAGATGTACTAGGAAGGGAGATGTTGGGGAATTCCTTTTCAGCAGCTTGTTTCATCACTTTTCATGCTATTCTTTTTCTTCTAATGTCTGATATGGAAGCACCCGCTGTTGTTGCAGAATGAGAACCGAACATTGTGGAAATTAGGGACTCTTCCGCCAGGCTTGATCACATTTTACTCCACGACAAAACCCTTGGACAAGTCCTGGCATGTGCTTGGACTTGGATATAATCCAAGTATAAGCATGGAGGAAATCAATAATGCTGCTGTTGTGCATTTTAATGGAAATATGAAACCTTGGCTTGATATTGCCATGAACCAGTTCCGACATCTGTGGACAAAGTACGTGGACTACGATATGGAGTTTGTTCGCCAGTGCAATTTTGCAGCATAATGAGAATTTATACAACCAGAGGCCCAGGGCTTCTGTTGGAAAACCAAACAAGTATGGCCACACGATTGTTAATCTTTATTGTTCGTAAGGTTTCAATCTGCAAATGAATGAGAAAGTTCAAATATTATGCTAGCATATGAAATTCCTCTATGTTTGTCATGATTAAGTTGCCTTCTTAAATTATTCTTTCTCCTCATGCCTATAATGCTCTATTTTTGATCTTTTAGTCTAATTTTCTAGAGCATTTGGCTCACACAGGATCTCAAATCTTGGTCCCATGTCACTCTTGATGGATTGCAGAACAAATATGGCACACCATTAATACTGGAAAATATATCAACTTATACGTTCCAGTATTGGTCTTTGATTAGTATGGGCAAATATCAGTCAGTATGTTCAGGTCTGTGCATGGGTATGAATTGCTAACTGAAACCTTGGATTTATAATGCATCTCTACGTGAACTTTGTTATGTATCACAGGAAAGAATGCCACATCTTTCTATTTAGCAGGAAAATTTTCATACCTCATCCATGTTACTTTTCATGTATATCTTGTGCTGGTTGTGTTTATGTATTTAGATGTTCTTTAGTGAACATGGTGTTAAAATTGGGACACTATGGGCTTCAACTTGATACTCTTGTGCTTTTCTTTTGATGATGCTTCATTGTGTTGACAAGTAACACATTGCAAATGCAGTTAATAACACAATCTCTGTTCTGTTGACGGAGATTGTGGCTTGTACGAGGATGGAAATTGGTTCTGTTTTGAGATTGTAACTATAGAACGAGGAGATCATAGAAAAAAACTTGCATTAATTCTGTAGCTAAGGGTTCAGAATAGTTGTCTTTGACTGTAGAATATCTGCAATCTTTCATGGCACTAATAGCAGTTCATACTTTTGACTTGAGAACCGCATGCTGACTTCGTTCATCTTATGACCATTCCACAAGCAATCAAATCGGGATGTTTCCCGCACATGAATTATTTGTACGGTCTTGATTTGATTTAGTCCCACCGAACGCACGTGAATGGTCCATTCGCACGCGGGGCCGACGCCGGTGACCCACGGCTAACACGTGCCAGAAAGGGCCAACATCAGTTCTCACGTGCCAATGTTCGCCTTAAAAGAGTAAGTGTAAGAATCGAACCCAATTGGAGAAAATTGGATCAAATAAATAAAACAATAGAATTGCCCTCTTTCTTATGTGTTTTCTTCCATTCCAGATCGGAAGCTCCGGACCCTAGAAAAGGAACCCGCAGGAGAGAACCCACCGGCATTTCCTTCTTACCCTCCTCTTCAACCGCCGCATATCAATCTCGAAACGCGAGCCTCTTCGGCCCCGGCAGCCTTCGGATCCGTTGCTAGGGTTTTAACCTTTCCTTGCTTGAGCTACCCGTCGCGGAAATGGCCGCCCAGCCGTCGAGCGCCGAAAGATCTTCGTTTTCCGCTCAAGTGGTAGTGGATTCGCCTCTTTTTCGCTACGTTGTTCAGTCTTGTTGTTGTCTTTAGCTCGGAGGTTGGTGGTTCAGGTGGGGAACGCGTTTGTTCAGCAGTACTACCATGTCCTCCAGCAATCGCCGGAGCATGTTTACCGGTTTTACCAGGATAGCAGCAAGCTCGGCCGGCCGGATGCCCATGGCGCCATGAGTTCGGTCACCTCCACCGACGTGAGTACGCAAAACCTTACATCTTTGTTTGGGTTTTACATGTCTTCAAGAAAGATGGAATCTTGAAGCCGAAAGATTTCATCTTTTTATGAGGAACTTCTTACATGGGATGTAGGCGATCAATGCGAAGATATTGTCCATGGGCTCTGTTAGAGCGGAGATGACATCGGTAGATGCCCAAGAATCTCTCGGCGGTGGGGTGATCGTGCTTGTGACGGGGCACCTTACGGGAGAGGATAATGTTAAGAGGGACTTCACCCAGTCCTTCTTTCTTGCTCGCCAGGACAAGGGTTTCTATGTATTGAATGACATATTTAGGTTTGTGGAGGAGGTCGATCACCAACAGGGACACCAGAGCTTGGCAAATGACTCTGGTGCACCTCATGCGCCTGAAAGTGGTTTGTCTTCTAAAGATCCCAAGGCTTGATTGTCTTCAAGTTTTATTGGCGTCTATGGAAATTTCTAGGCTTATTTCTTTTGACCTGCAGATTTACCTCCAGAGGAAGAGCAGCATGCTCCGGACCAAACAGACGTCTTGCCAGTAGAAGAAGAGGAGGTGAACGAGGAGGAAGTCTATAATCCTTCAGACAATGGGGAGGTTGTGGAAGAGGAAGAACCTACAGGTGAGGTGATTAATGAAGTCCCAAGCAATTCTGAATCAAATGCTGTCACCGCCCAAGAAGAGATGCCAAAGAAATCATATGCCTCAATTGTAAGTGCCTAAGTTGAACATTTTGCTATTTTTTCCTCTTATGAACTCTTGTTCTCATCATAATGTATGTTCAAGTTAGTCTAAAGTTATGCATCTAATGTTTGGATGACCACCGACCAAATGTTAAGACGCTGGTCCGTGAGGAATAAGGCATAGTGGTTCTTTGTTTGCCAGTATTCTTTTAATAATACTACTTAAAGTTCTAGTATATTCCCACTGGTTAGTAATAGGATCTATCTATTTGATTATTCTACATTGCAACTTCTATTATTGTGAGCAACATATTGGTCAATTTCATCGAAAGGCTAATTAGCAATCTATCTTTTCTAAAGTTTTAGTCCCACATATCCAAGACAATAGAACAAACTAGATGCCTTTTAGGTTAAATGATCACTTTATAAAGATGTGAAACTTAATATTATCTATGGACATAATTATATAGGTGATTCTACAACAATATCAGTGGTGTGATGTTCATTTCTCCTTCTGCTCCCATAGAGCACACGATGCAATACCAAGTATCATTAGCACTATAAGCTGAAGTTTGATTATTTAAACCATATGTTGTAGCTCTCCATTATGGGACCTGGATGCTGGAAGCTTCTAATATAGTTCTTTTTATAAAGCTTGTTCTTCTGAAACATCTGCAAGGTGAATTTTGTTATCATCTCAGAATATTAAATAATGGGTGGGAATTCCAAGACATGTATGCTTTTAGTCCACTGTTCTGACTTTTCAGAATTTATTGTGAATATATCTAGTTTTCTTTTGTTCCAGATCAATGAATTTTCAAAAAGATAATGATTTATGTTTAATTTGCGGAACACTATTACGAAAACTAGTTGTAAGAATAGCTTGTTGGATCATGGATGCAGGTGAAAGTCATGAAAGATAGTGCTTCTGTGTCAGTTCCAACACGTGCTTCTTCTATGCCAACATCAATTAAAGCAGAACCACAGGCAATCCCTGCTCCTCCAGCAGCTCCAGCATCTGATATGTCTGCATCCAGTTCTGCTGCTGCTGAAAGTAGCAATGTCCAAGAGGCTGAAAGTAATGATAGTCTTGTTTCAAGCTAATCTTTCTGTATATTAACTTCAGCATAACTCTGTTTTGTGAATTTCATCCTCTATATTCTTCTTTCAGCTGATGGTTATTCCGTATATGTGAAAAGTTTGCCAATGGATGCAACACCTGCTCAACTTGAGGAGGTGTTTAAAAAGTTTGGTCCCATTAAGCCTGGTGGCATACAAGTTAGAAGCCATAAGGTTTGTATATACTTCCTCTCCTTGAAATTTAAATTTCAATTCTCCCATCATTTTTTTTTTATATTTTCGGTATTATAAGAAGATTATGTTTTAATTATCTGCAGCTACAAGGTTTCTGCTTTGGGTTTGTGGAGTTTGAGGTGACTAGTGCTGTTCAAAGTGCCATAGAGGTAAATCTATATATGCCATCATTAACTTCGATTTGATTTATTCACTGTATGCTGCTTATACTATTAGTAAGATGTTGATTCAGTTGGATCCATGTAAGATCCAAATTCAAGTCCATTTAAAACTGAATTGATCCACACTGAATATGTTAAAAGGGTGCTAGATCGATGACTGAATGCATGTACAATAACAATCAAATATTGGGTTGAATATTGAAGTAAATGTGATGTTTGGATTGTGCTCAATATTCATTTAGGTTGTACATCACAACAGTCAAACAATACGCACCATTCAAGTCATGTTAGGTTCATGTGTAGCTTATATCACACGCCAATCAAGCATTAAGAATCATGTTAGTTTAATTTTATACAAAATATTAGTATACATCAATATTTACTTATGGTGTTTTGGGTTCCGTATATGGATTTTCACCCTTAACCTAATATGATGCATTACTAGTTGTGACTTTAGAACATATGCTCATTTCATGGCTTCATGCATCATGTTCTCACCTGAAGAATCAGATTGGATTCAAGCAGGTAATCAGGTTATTGAGGTCCTGTTGCAGCTCTAGATATGAGTGGTTGAGTTAGTTGAGTAAGAGAAGCTAGTGCCATTGGCACCTGGACAACTTCTTTTCCAATCTTGTTATTTTTATTAAATTTGAAGGTGTGGTCTGTATTTGTTAAATTTGGTTTGCTTGTGTAATTGATTATTACTCATGGTTCTTAAACTTCCTTGCTGGCATTTGGTTATTCATATGATTTATAATGAATCCGCATGTAAATCTTCATGGTACATTTCATTAGAGGCTCAGAGATTGCACTTAGTTTCTGGCCCTCTGGTAATTTAGTTTTGGGCAGTTTCCATTTTTTACTCTTATCTTTCTTGCTTTGGTTTTCATTCACTACACTATCTGATTTTTGTGGTGTTTTTAGGCATTTGCTTGCAACTTTCTCATAGTTGCCTTTTGAGTTTTCTGCAATCACATCACATGACTTGCTTTACCTCACCGGTGGCTCCACTTGTTGAATATTGTGGTGCTTGTTGGTGCTTTCATCCAACATTTATCATTTGGTTATATGACCTTCTAATTTTGGGAAGTGCTTAGCTATATTTGGTTATTGCAGGACTTAGTTAACATTTTTTAAGATTTGTAATTTGTTATGCAAAAATCGTTTCAAAGCCTCAATATATGGTTAAATAGCAAATAATATGGAATGAAGATAATACACTGTGTGTGTGTGTGTGTATATATATATATATATATATACATGTATACATGTATACATGTATGTATACATATATATATATATATATATATATATATATATATATATATATATATATATATATATATATATATATAC